AATAGGGACAACAGATTTTCCATTGTCCTTGATTGCTCGTATGACTCGAGACCACCTCTGGTCTTCTGGATATCCGGAGATTACTTTCTGTTTGAACTCATCAGACAAGGCGATACCGATCATCGTTGGTTGTATTTCGTCTCCATGGGATGCATGGCCAAACAGAATGTCTAATGGATCCGTGTCCAACGTTGTTGGGTTGTCTTCGTCCTTAGCAAAGGACGGTAGGTGAGACAAGGTGTCTGGCACAATGTGGGTTTTTCCTGGCTTGTGGTATAGCACGAGTTTTGGGTTCCTTCTGCGTGTCATCTACTGCACCGCAGCGATCAGGTATGGAGAGGGACATCACTACTGTCTATGGCCGACTGATAGTCTGATTCACTATCCGAGGGTTCTGCTCCTGGTGACCAGTCCGGATCGACATCAGAATCATCAAGGTCATCATCGTTTTCAGCATTGGTCATCACTTTTTCAAACAAGTAACGGCCACGGGTAACAATCTGCTCTGAGTCCGCTGGCTGAGTGGCATTAAAGCGTTGGACAATGCGCAGTTCGCGATAGGTTAGGGGCTTTGGCTGTTCCAGCCCCTGACCCCCACCAGTTGCTGCATCTTTGATGAACTTGGAGGCCTGTCGGATGCGCTGTTTAACCCTCCGTGCCGCCTCCTCTTGTCACTCTGTGGGTTTGCATAGTAGGGGCTTGCTGCCATTTGGCTCTAGCCCTTTAAGCTGCTTAGTATCTTTAATTAGATCTAGCATGAGCCATAAGTCCTCTAGCGTAAGGGTGGGCCGCTTAGCGTGGTCTGTTAATTGGTTTGCACCTAGAATATGTTAGTATATATCTCTCTATTACTTAAAAACCTTTGCTCACTTGAAGTGAGCGAACCGTCTGGTTGTTTCGCGATCTGCACCACCATCGGATACCGACTCGTAGCCGAATATCCCCTCCCTGCACTAATCGAAGATTGTTAATCGTGTCTGAGAGCGGGGCCAACAGACGGCTCCTCTGGTCAAGTCTTGTATGGCTTTCTCTGCCTTCTCTTGCTGTTTGGTGACCTCAGCTTCATCAGACGAACGCATCTGACATATTCAGGATATGGAATAGGAAGAGTGGTTAGCGTATGAAGTAAATGATAGCAACCAACGACTTGGCGAGGCGTTTGCAACCATCATAACTAACACAAGCAATCTGGTTAGACTTTCCTTGAGTAGGAAAGGGTCCTTTCCTCCTGGCGTCACTCTGGTCGATTGATATGGGCCCTCGAATAACATAGCGGATACCCAGGGAATCAAGAAACATCTCGGTCAGCCACATGATAATCAGCCAGTCCTGTCAAGTCAACGGCCTCTTTCTTCTGTTTACCGTTCCGACGGAGCTGCTCGAAAGTTTCGACTCCCCAATTCTTAGTGGCTCCCTTCGCTTTAAGGTAGTCGAACGCCCATTGTGCCAGTGCTATGGGGTCCAAAGCTGCGATATCGCCAAATAGATTTGCTTGGTCAATTGCCACTGAGCCTTTGGCATGCTTGCGTGATGACAATGTCTGGCGGCTGTAGGTGTTTCCGTCGATGCCGAGGTTTGTAAGGTGTAGCCTGACTGTTCCAAACCGGTCGAGGGTCAGGTAGACCAGCCGACAGAGTAAGGGGTCCCGGTGGTCACCTTTGCACAAATAGCAGGAAGCGCAGACGCCGCGCACCCGATTCTGGCTGCCGCCAGAAGCCCTCATTCCAGAAGATGCGCATCAAGTACCTCAGCTTCACCGTGTCCGCCATCAAGTAATGGGCCTAGCCCAAACGGGTCAGGGGCATCACATCATGTTGCGAACCTCCGTTGTTGTCCTCCACCAAAAGTCAGAGAACCCCCGGTCGCCACGGTCAACACTTTTGGCAATTGCTGCGGCCATTGTGTCGGCTTCATCATCGGCGTGACGGTAGTAGTCGTCGGCAGTACCGGCTTCTTGTATGAACCATTGACGGTACGCCACACCCCCTGGCTCCGCAGTTAGGCTTTGACGGCTTCTGACCAGGTCTGATAGGTATCCGCACCCGTATGCAGCGGTAGCTTGTGGAGATTGACTGTGGACGGCATCGTTGTGGGCCGCTCCAGCGAATAATCGTGAAGGGTTTCGAGAATGGTAGAATCCGGACGGATAAGAAAACGAAGTGGTATCTTATTCCAACAAGAAGATATTGCTGGTGTGGTCTCCGAAAAGTTCACCTGCGGTTCCAAGCGAGCTGCATGAAGTGATGGAAGAGTGAGTCCGTGATGTTGCTCAGACAGTGGATGTGTAGACCACATGGACTATCAAGATGTTCCTGAGAATGTCTTCCAGAAGTCCATGTGTAGGCTTCTTGGCTAAAGAGTCACCTCAAGAAGAGCTGAATGAATCTGAACAGTAAGATGGAAACCCAAGGACTAAATATTCTACATTATATCAGGGTATTCACCACTAGGATGCAAAATGGATTCACTAGATCATTCTCGTTCCCCATTCTTTCCCTGAAATAGAGTTAAGCACCGAATCTACAGTTCAACGCTATTCATCGGCCACCCATTAATCGCATTATATGCCTCTAAAGGCGTCGTCCCATGCAGCACCTCGTAATGCCTCCTCTCTCCACAAGACTTCTGCCCCTGTAACGTAACGCATTTCCCCTGCAGCAGCGCAGCCACATGCTCCCCCGCTTCTTTACCCTCATACCAAGCCCCATGCGCAAAGCCAAAATACGCCGAAGAAGTCGCCTCACCAGCAAACCACAGCCGCTGGACATTCGCTCTCAAATTCTGATGGATCTCCAGCGTCGTACCAACCGGCCAGTTGGAGTAGCTCCCATACGCCCAGGGCTCTTCCGACCAGCGCGGGTAGAAGAACGCTTTCGGCTCGGGAACATGCTTGCCAGGAAACATCTGCCGAAGGACAGTGAGGATCTCAGCTTGAGTTTCAGTGTTCGATTGCCTCTCAACGCGATACGCTTCTGCGTCCACGACCGTCACGAACAAGATATTCGACCCGGGAAGGAACCCCTCCATCGACAGAGACTGAAACACAGGGAAGTACCCTCTCGTCGTCGGCGACGCATACAAAAAGAACTGTGTATCGTTCGGCCAGAACATCTCCTCGAACTGCATGAAGATCTTGATATACGTGCCCATGGTGTACTTGTGGATGGCGGTCTGTTTCCACTCAGGCAGCGCAGGACGGAAATTGACTACATCGTTCTGCAGAACACCCAGGGAGAATGTGCAGATGGCGTACGCGGCTTCCACGCAGCTTCTGTCCCTGTTGCGGATCGTGACGCCTTTATCTGAGTACTCGATATCCGAGACCTGTGTCTGCAGCCGGACCCGAGGATCCATCCTCGGATCGCCATTCTCGCTATAAAGGAATGTCGAGGCCTCGCCGTTGATGATGGCGCTGTAGCCGCGAGGATCGACGACAAGCTCGTTACGTGATCCGAACTGTTGGAATGTGATATTCTCGCTGGCGAGTCCGAAGACGAACGAGCTGGTTTCGGGTGTCTGGGCGTATTCCCAGTCTACACGCCTAGATCAGTGATGTCGACTTCGAAGTGAGGGGAGAGTCGTACCCCAATGCCACCATTCGACTGCTTGCGCCGCCATATCATCCTTCCGTGGTCGCCAGCCGGCCAGTGCGAGGCCAGTTCGCGCGGTCTGATCTTGCAGGTTCTCGGTCATGATGCGTCCTGCTTCTTTGGAGCCGGTGCGGTAGGCCTCGGCATACTCGCGCAGGAGATGTCGGTAGTCGGTGAAGCCGGTTTCATTGTAGGTGTGTATCGAGCTATAGTTGGAATATATGACTGTCAAGTTGTGCTTTCTGGCCTAGTGCTGTCAATATTTGCTGTGGTTCGGAGGAGAAGACGCACCAGTCGCCAAATAGGGTTCTCTGGGGCATGTTAGCATGACGGGACATCGAGTGGATCATAACACACCTCTTATACCCATTCCAACTCCATGTACCTATGACAGTCAACTCTCATCTACGCATGGAGTCCTAGATCGACATACCCAGTTCGCCCCCAGCTCAACCACATACGGATTCCCATTCTCATCTTCTCCAAACTCCTCATGTCTCAATCTGCCCCCAAGTCGATCTCTATACTCGAGGATAAGAAAATCATCAATGGATGCATTTGCCAGAGCTTGCTGTTACGGTCAGTCTTTCATTCTCATACCAGTTTATTAAAGTACTCACAGCAGCAGTAATCCCTGCCACTCCTCCTCCCCTTCTACCGTCAGCACTTGTCTGATATACCAGGAAGCACTTACAAGATAGCCACGGTAGTCTTCGTACACTTCGCATCATCCCTCAAAGGCACCTGCTGCGCCACATATCCCTCACAATTCTGCACTATCCAACCCGTTACAAAAGGAAGTATATATCTCGACCACATCTTCATCGACAACATCCAAAAATTGGGTAGACAAGACAGACCACATCCGAACCCGCCGCCATATTTATCTAATCCCCCTACTTGCAAGAGCAAAAGCAATCAATAATGAGGCGTAAAACCGACCACTGACACCTCTTTGTACAACCCCCGGGCACGTGATTGACAGACGGGTTATCTTGTGATCGAATCAAACGATGCTTGGCAAGTAAGGCTTATCGCGTCCATTGGGAACTGATCCACAAGGAATGGGAGTGGGCGACGAAGTGGGTAAGTCCATGCGGAACAGGTCGAATGATCATAAGAACCTATTGGTTGCTTTGTTAAGGGATTTGAGACAGCGAAGTAGATGTAAGGGAGTTTACCTCTAAATGGGGATGAGCTGGATGAGGTCTTTCGTATGACATTATCAGCTGGATGATTCTTGTTTAGTATCTTCGCGATTATCTATACTATGACCTGAAGGCATCTATATACACGCAAAGTCTTCAAGCTATTCACGAGTTGAAGGCCCTTTCTTTGCCCATACCCTAGGACACGTACAACGCCTATCTGGCTCTTGAACTCACAGGAAAGAATGACAAGTCCCTAGAATCAAGCCAAGAGGTCATCCTGCCCTAAAGTCGTCCATTTCAGAAGCAAATCGTCCACCGCGTCAACACCTTCCTTGACTTCTTGCTCTGTCTTCGTAGCAGGGACTGGGATAGCGTCTACATCGGCCTCGTATCCATCCGATGACATTATCACGCTTCTGGGAGCAGACTGTTGTTTCAGAGCAGGCTGTTGTTGCCGAGCAATAACTTGGATCTGCCGCCTGATTGGTTCGGTACTCGACTGGCCTTCCAACGGAGCATGAGCAGAAGACGTGTCGGGACGGATACGGGGAGAAATGCCCTCAGGAGTTCCTTCGTAGTCGCCGAGAGCTCTGCTACGCGCCAGATAGGCACTGATTCTGTCATTGACCATTTCAGTCGAAGGAGCAGAATGCTCGAGTTGAAAATCGTCGGCATCAATAATATCCGATGGCTGTAAAGGTCGATCATCCCATCCATTTGACTCGGGATTATCATGCTGCTCAACTCGTCTTCTTTTCGCTCTGGCTTGGCTGCGCTGTTGCCTACCAGCCATCTCAGTCTTGTCGGCCTCTTGTCTCTGTGTATCGATGACTTCCGTCTCAGGCGTGAGACTAAACAGCGGATCATCGAATAGTCGAGTAACCATCACCCCGTGAGCCCGTCGAAACTGCTCCACCTCGGCTGCATGCACTCTGACAACACCGTTCCTGATTCTCGAATATCGGCTCCACTCAAAGCCCGACATGCACGCATCCACTTCGTGGAGTAGCCGCTTGACGAGCCGGATATACGTCCGGAGATCACGGCCTGGATCCTGTACCAGGGTCTCGTACGGAGGGAGCGTATCTTGCACAGCTGGTCCCCGAGAGGAGTTGATATCAACGGACCCAAGAGCCTTGACCAACTGGTCGAATCGCCTCTCGCTCGCCTCCTTCTCCTCCACCAGCACCTGGATCAAACCCCGCTGCTCCTGGAGAACAGACGACTCCGCCCTGCTGCTGAACCGTCAGTTTCAGTTTTACCACCCAAAGCGCAAATACTCACCTCCGCAACTGCCCCGCATACATAATCACATTCAACAGAAGCAACATCGTCGATTTCAACCTCTCCAGATTCCCCCTCAGCACATCCAGCTCCTTCTCCATCAGCACAAACCCCAACCGCCTCGCGGCCCGCTGAATCGCATTCTTCGTCGCATCCCCCCTCGACTCATCGATCGCACCGCTGATCCGCCTGAAGACGCTCTCACACTCACGCAGCACCTCCTGCGCGGTCTCAAACGCCTGCGCGGAACACAGCCGCGTCTGCTCGTCCTGCTTGAGGTTCTCGCCTAGTTGGCGGAGGATACTGCAGGTGAGCCCGACCTCGCTCGAGAGACTCTGCACCGAGTCATCGGCGGATTTGAGCTGGCGGTAGAAGCTGCACAGTTTGACGGAGACCGTGGCGCCGAGATCGGCGATCTGGAGGATGCTGGCTGCTATGCCTAGGATTTCGAGGCCGGACATGGCATGTTTTGTGTTTGTACGGGTGTTCAAAGGGACACTTGGTAATGGTGCTGGACTTGTACTCGCGTCGAAAGGTGTGTGGGAGAATAAGCTGATACCCCGCTTTTGCCTAGGCATTTTATCCACACTGTCCACACCATAAGCCGTCAATTACGTAGAATGACTCCATACTCCGTAATTCCCACTATCCTGGATCCACAAGGCATAAGCTGCCGATCATATTCATATCTTTTCCAATAATGTAAAGCTCTGCTTGTTAAGTTTTTTCAAGAGGTCTTCTTATCCTCTACAGTGTACCAAGGGCTTCATTTCTATTCCCAATTAGTATAACTAAATGAACTATTGTGATGCCTAAGGACGCAGTGTTTCAATATAATAGTAGAATAGACACATAGAGATACTCCGTAATTCTTAATGAACAGAATAGTGGCAATTGATCAATGCCCAGCAGTGCCAATTCAAATCAAGCTTTCTAATCCACAGGAAATATGGCCTACCCATGGTTTGCAGCCGCAAGGCATACTATTATGGCTTATCTCCGAGGATCTAATTCTAGTATGATGTAAATATGAGATATTCCCTGTCCCACACCGAATCGGATATTGGGGACAATAAAAATGACAGCTCGACTGTATCTCGCTCTACTCGACATATTCTCAGATCTACTTCGCTGTGAAATGACATCTTATCATCCACAGCATGTACGCATCCGCCAGTAGCATACACTCATTCCAACGACGGATCTCCGAGCACCAGAAAAAGAAATGGCAGGAAGACCAGAAACTCGCCGCCTGGTCGGGTCCTACCTCAGAGGTATCCTGTCGCCTCGTCACTGTGCTGCAAACCGCTGACGATCTTAGATCCGATACACCGGCATCACCGCTAAAAAAGTGGACGAGCAGAGTATTCACCTTGTGATCGCCGTCCGAGACGCGGTCTACCCGCTGGACTTTCTCGAACATCGATTCCATATCCCCGGTGAGGATCTGGACGCCAACATCACGGATTTCATCCTCGAGCAGTTCCGGAAGTATAGCCTGAGTCATGCGGAAAAGTTCATCGGTACCTGCCTCCCGACAGAGTTGACCGAGATGTGTCCCCGACTGGCCTCGCGGCTTTGGCTAGAACTCGATGTGATGCCGCTGGCTGTACCGCAGCATGACGCGCTGGGTGGTCGCTACGACCAGGAGATTCCATGGGAGACCAGAGATGCAGACGAGCAGGCGGAGTATCTGGCCATGAAATGCGTGAGGTATGTTCGACGACACGGCCGGGCTGAGTCTCGTTAACGCAAGCAGATTATTCGGTCCGAACAACATACCACTCCTGCAAGTTGGATTCCGCGGTGTGGTCGAAGTGGACTCTGGATTCATGATGCACCTGGCGACGCTGGACGATTACAAAGGCACAGTCAGCGAGCGGACATGGATGGCTCTTGAACGGGTTGCAGAACAGGTTCGAGACAAGAAAATCCGAATTGCCATCTTCAGCGCAACACCCCAGGGAGGCGGGGTCGCCCTCATCCGCCATGCCTTCCTTCGACTGAGCAAGCTCCTGCGCCTGGACGTGCAATGGTACGTGCCACAGCCGCGATCCGGCGTCTTCCGCATCACCAAGATGAACCACAATATTTTCCAAGGTGTCGCAAAGCCGGACGACTATCTAACAGCAGAGAATGAGGAACAACTTCGACGATGGGTCGGTGTCAACAGCGAACGGTCCTGGTCCTGCCCCGGCGGACCTCTCGACCATCCCTCCAACGGCGGTGCACATATCGTCGTGGTGGATGACCCGCAACTGCCGGATCTGATACCCATTGCCAAGGAAAAGGCGCCAGACCGGCCGGTGATCTTCCGCAGCCACATACAGATCCGAGTAGATCTGGCGTGCACGCCTAGGACGCCGCAGGCCAGATCATGGGACTGGCTCTGGTATCGTGCGCAGCATGCCGATGTGTTTATCAGCCATCCTATTCCAGACTCTGTGCCGCCTACCGTGCCGAGAGAGATGATCGGCCACTCCCCCGCCTCGACGGATCTGCTGGATGGACTCAATAAGGAAATGGTAGATTCCGATGTCGCATACTATGGCCGGCTGTTCAATCAGTGGTGCCGCGAGACAGGAATGCCAACGATCGATTACCCAAACGACGAATACTTTGTGCAAATCGCCCGCTTCGACCCGTCAAAGGGAATAATCGACGTCTTGGACTCGTATCGCGAATTCCACCGTCGTCTGACACAGGCTAAGCCCGACAGTAAGATCCCGAAACTACTCGTCTGCGGACACGGGTCTGTCGACGATCCAGATGCAAGTGAAATGTTCGACACGGTCATGGATCATATTCACAAAGCAATGCCCCATCTCGCGGACAAGATCGCGGTGATTCGTGCGAAGCCATCTGACCAGGTCCTGAATGCCGTTCTTTCCAAGGCCAAAGTTGTCCTTCAGCTCTCCACCCGTGAAGGCTTTGAGATCAAGGTCTCGGAAGCACTCCACAAAGCCAAACCTGTGATTGTTACGGACGTTGGTGGCCTGCCCTATCAGGTGGTTGATCAAGAGACGGGATTTATTGTCAAAGTAAGGGACACAGACCGAGTCGCAGAATGCCTCTATGATCTGTGGACCGATGCAGACTTGTATCGTCGAATGCAAGAGAAAGCCCCTGGCTCGGTTAGTGACAATGTGACGACGGTTGGTCTGGTCAGCTCATGGCTGCATATGATTCGGAAACTGGTTGAGGAGCATTCATGGAAACCAGAGAATCGACTACTATCGGATCTGATGTTTGAAGATTTAGGTTTAGCATCAATTAGCGCTTGATTTTACCACCAGAAGATGCACAATTGTCCCTATCTGAGCTGCCTAGTTGCTGCCACCCACGGTTGTCCCTTGAAGAATTGCCTGACTCGCTGCAGCATCAAGCTACAGTGGCCCGTTGTTATGGCGGAATTGTGCTAGTAAGGCAAGCGCTTCCGGATCTTTCATTACCTCCGCGAGCGCGATGTCCATCCGCTCCGGACGCTCCCCATTCTCAATCAATAGCTTTAGGATAGCCGGCTGGCGGTAGTGGATAGCGCAGGATATTGCCGAAAGATGCTCAAGTACCACGTTGTCCTCCAAATCCTCCAGGAACACGCTGGAGCCGCTTGGATCCGCTCCCTCCTGAAGTAGAAGCTCAACCACGTCATAGCGCCCTTTTCGAATTGCCCGGAGAAATGGGAGACGGCCCATTCTCCTCATTCGGCAGCCATGTTTCAAGAAAAGCTGTATCATATGCATGGCACCCTGACCGGCGGCATAGCCCAGGGCCCCCTGGTTGGTTGGATCATAGCCATTGGTCAATAGGAGCTCGACAATTCGTGGATCACCTCGCAAGACGGCTCGCCCCAACGCAGACCATTCTTCATCCAGGATATCCTTTGCACCAACTTGAACAAAGGCTCTAATGGTACTCTCACTGCAGCCACACTCTATAATCTTTGACAACAAGGAGTGGTCGTTTCGGGGACCAAACTCTTCTTCTGCTTCTGGGGAATAAAACCGGGCACAGCGCTCAATCATGCCTTCGATGACGGGTAGATCACAAAAGAAGATAGCAATCCACATTCCCAGTACCATGTGCTTCGCTGCCTCGCTGCTTGTGCTGATGGCCGATAGTATGATCTCACTGATTCCGACGTAGCCTTGCTTCGCTGCAACGTAGATGGCTGGGCCGCAGCTCGTCTTTTCAGTGGTTGGGTTCGCGCCATGCTGCAGTAACAGCTTTACCATTTCTTCGTGGCCATTTTCTGCCGCAAAGTAGAGCGGGTGGCCAAATTTCCTTGTTGGCACTTTGGGCTCTTCGAGTGAGGAAACCATGGCACCTTCGCGGAACAAACGCTCTGCAAGTTGGAGATCGTTGGCCTTGGCGGCCCAGAGCAAGGCAGAAGAGTTATGAACCCTGATGTTGTGACGAAGCAAAGTCGAGTAGAGGAGGGAGTGAGACCTTTGATTCGTCTGCTGAAGAGCGTTCAGGTCTCTCTGGGACAGGAGCTCGGCGATGAGCAGGACGATCTCAACGGGCAGGTCTAACAGCCCCATTCTGGAAGGGATTGTTCTGCTTATCGTTCAAGTCGGAAATGCAAATGTTGGTTTATCAGTTAACGCACAGACAAGCAATCAGTTGTCTCTGTGGACGATTATAATTCTGATGTCGATGAAAGCACTACCTTTCACACATAGACTCATGACCCTCAACACTCACTTGTATGAACTCAGCCTCAGTTATCAGCCAGCAAAACAGCAGTCAGGATACTTTGCGAATGTGATAAATCAGGTCTCAAGAGTGATGCGATAAGCTGAGGATAGTCTTGACCAGATCAATGACGACCAAGAGGAGAGGTCCGAGGTCAGAGATGAGGAAGATGGAAGAGAAGTTGGGGGTTGAGAAAGAGAGAAAGAGTCCTGACGCGTAGGACGCGTTGCTTTCAGAGGTCATTCAGCCCTCCCCATATGACGCACTGGTGGGGGAGGGCAAGGCGAGGGCTCTCTGAAGGAGAAATTGGAGGAGTGTTCCCATGGGGACAGGCGGAAGCGGAAGTGACCTCTGGCTTGTGAGCAGACACTTTGACGCAACTGCAAGTATAAGTTTCTTTGTTTACGCAAAAAAGATGAAGATAAAGAGGTGATTCCTGTTATTCGAGCTGATGGAGCTAGCAGATATGTGCCAACTGCCAAGGGTCTTACTTCCTTTGATGTCTGCGGCTCTGCCAGTGGTCCATGAGATCTTCTATCTGTACTCAGAGTAAAGCTAGTCTCCCAGATTTCAAGCGTCGCAAGGAATACTACCAACCGCTGTCATCTCTCGCTTGCAGACTCTTGCCAATGATATCTACGTACTGATCGTTGCCAAGAAGCTCCACCACGAGTCCAAGACTCCAAGTTATTGAATGATGTGAGCCTGGGGCCCTGGAGGTTGTTAGGGATGCGCCAAAAATCCATAATGAGGTCCAGTCACTCCAGTGAATGGAGCTTTATATGGATAGGATCAGAAGTTCCTGTTAATAGCAGACGTCACGAAAGATCAGCACTCATCAATTGGCGGCATATGGTCATACTTTCGGACTTTCCTTTCTTTTTCCTTCCCGGAGGATGGAGAATATATTTTCCTTCTATACCTGCCTTACTAAGCAATCCAAATAGGGGCTAGAATTCATGAATCATGCCTGTGTTTACCTGCAAATGAAGTTGGCGACAGCAGTATCATTTCTTCAAGGCTTTAGTGTGCCATGCCTAAGTCTCGCCGTTTGCTTCGCGGAGAGATCACATACTCTTCTGCAAGAGAGAAAGATACCAATGTCCTCCATACACTTACGTATTGGACCCAGAGGGCTGAGTTCTTTGATCATCTAAACAAGAACAGGAACCTGATTCAGGCGGTGACTGCCCGCCATCTCGGCGTAGACGCAACGACATGTCACGTCGCTGATGAGGCTGACTGGGTGCATGGAAGCTTTAATCTCTGTATTCCCGTTACAATCACAGCTTGGAGGAAACACCCTAGAACAAGGGTAATCATCCGCTTCCCACTACCATACCGGGTAGGCGAAGACTTCAGGCCGGGAAACGCAGACGAGAAGCTTCGCTGTGAGGCAGGAGCCTATACATGGCTCCAGAAATACTGTCCATCAGTGCCTATCCCTCGACTCTATGGATTTGGATTGTCAACCGGTCAAAGTGTAGGTTATCACGCTTTGTTTTGGGTTGGTTTTGCTGATGTCTCCAGTTTACAGCTATTGATACGCTGCCCTTGATGACTCGTTGTCTGCAATATCTCCGTCGTTTGGCACTGGCAACCCTGGGATATCCGGTTCCATCCCGACTTGTGCCTCAGAGGAGCAACGGTCCCAATCTTGGCGTTGGCTACCTTCTGATCGAATATATTGAAGAAGACCAAGGAACGATGCTTTCGAATACCTGGGATGAGAGATACCAGGACACACAGCTACGAACTAATTTCTTTGGAAGCCTGTCTCGAGTCTTACTAACCATCGCCCGGGTCCCTGTACCGCGGATCGGCTCATTCACTATCGACGACGACGGTGTCTTGGCCCTGAATAACCGGCCGTTGACTCTTGAAGTCCACGAACTGGAGAATGAAAAGATTCCGGTGGATATTCCCCGTGGTTTTACATACACTTCTGTCGACTCATACATAGTCGATACTCTTGCCTTCCATGATAGTCGCCTTCGTCATCAACCAAATGCGGCTACCAACGAACAGGATTGCGTCTATCAGATGTCGGCCTTGTCCACCATGAAAATGGTTTTTCCTCAGTTCTTCCGACGTGACCTGCGCCGTGGCCCTTTTGTCTTTTGCTTGACAGATATTCACCAGAGCAACATCCTAGTTGATGCTGACTGGAACATCAAGTGTTTGATTGACCTGGAGTGGGCATGCTCACGGCCAATCGAGATGCTACATCCTCCGCGCTGGCTCACGAATCGAGCAATAGATGAGATGGATGCCGTCGAGTACGCCCAGATCCACAGAGAGTTCATGGAAACTTTAGAGAATGAAGACAGACCGCTTGACGCATGCACTACGATCTCATCCGTATTAAGAGAGGGCTGGGAAAGGGGTACGTTTTGGTATACAGCAGCTCTTCGGAGTCCCACTGGTCTCTTTCGCGTCTTCTACGATCATATCCAGCCAAGGTTTGCAAAGGGGCACGAAAATGATGAGAATTTCTATCAAGTTCTGATGTACTACTGGACGGAAAAGACGTGGGAGTTCATCCGAGAGAAAGTGAGAGACAAGGCTGAGTATGACAAGCGACTTCGAGATGCGTTTAATGATTAAGCCAAGATGAGATACGGATCCGCACAAAGGTAGGTAGATAATATCATTTCTTTTCTTCACTTCCTGGGTTTTCCCTGATTCCTGCTTTCTTCTTCTTCCGCCGCAGCTTTTTGCATTTCCCTTTTGACCGCATTGTCAAGAGCCTGCAACCCTCCCTGGTATCTTTTGGCTTTTGCCGCATCGGAAGATGACGTGAGCTGCCTTATGGTCTTCACATCTGCCCTTATACCAACAACGCCTTCTTCGATGGTCCCTTCTTCGGATGTATCTGGTCGTTCATTTGCTCACTGGTGTTTGCTGAACCCCGCATGTCACATCGACGGATGAGTCCTACCCCTCTATTCTCTCTTCCTACCTGCATGGAAGCCCGACAGTTTCAGCCATATTATATCTTGTCTGCTGATGCTAAACCCTTCTTAAAGTCGATCCAAACAGTTGCTCTCGAGGACATAACAGGCGTCAACCGTCACTCAATGTATGATTAACAAGGTAACATCATTGCCTTGGCTTGCGCTGATGTTCACTTGCTACCGAAACGGAACGCTGTAACCGTGGGTTCTCCGGCGTCCCATTCTCATCAGTATTCAAGTCTGATACCGTCTGTCTCACAGTTCCACATGACCAGTGTACAGAGTGAGATTCAGTGATACTTTGTCTCGACCGAATTTGGGAGCCGCGATGTGTTGGATATCCTCATCGTCGCTATCCATTCTATCTTGTCGTTGTCATCGGCCGGATGGTGTGCAATCTGTACCGCTTTACCCTCGCTCTTGTTCTCGCGGCGGGAGTCTTCGAAGTCTTTCGTATCTCCCGGTATGCGGCCGGGAAGCGGCATGTTCGCGGGCTTTCTAATGGCTGGCGGAGGTTCAGCACACTGGCGCGACTGATCATCGGGTGAACTGGAATGCTCAGTTGCAGGACCAACACTCGTTTCATCCGGTATAGAGTCATCCCACGTTTCATGGGCGTTGTGAAGATTCGTGTGTTGTCTCATTCTCCCTTTCAGAAGGCTCTCCATCAGCCTGTGGGACATGAGTCTGAGTAACCGTCGTACCTGAACGCGTATCCCTCTTGGTAGGATTGGAAACCGGTTCGACTGAGCGACGGTCCTCAGCTCCGGGTGTCAGTGGCACGACCTGGAAGAGTATGGTTGCATCGACTCCGCTCTCGCCCTATCAAGAGAAAGGGAAAGAGATTTGGAGTTGAAGGAGGAAGTGGATGTTGGAACGAGGCACTTCGCGGTTTATATAGATTGCTGTCCCCTACGGAGCGACGCCATACCGGATGGGGTCAGCCAGTCTACCTCTGTATTAGTTAAATCAGAATTTCCGAGGGTTCAATGAATCCTTTACTAAACATAGTAAGAATGGTTGACACGTCCTCATCATTTATGTACCATCCACAACGCAATTTCTCCCAAACACGCCAAATATCATGATTGATACAAGGTGACGCTGATTGGCCGTCCATGAATTGAGAACGGAACTCCCCGCAAAAGCCCCATTTATTCCTTATTCCTCCTTTCATCCTCCATGCTGTCATATGATGATCAGGCCACTATAACGCCACTCCCGCAGCATCGGCACTGCCTCGATTCCTCTGACTGACATATTGCCGTCTCTATCTCCATATATCTATCCTGTCGATTCTTCAACAGCAGAGAAAACAACCAATCTTCGAGAACCACCACAAACAAGACATACCAAAATGACCTCCTTTGCCACTCCTTCCCCGCACTCCCCACGGCCATTCTTCAAGCCTGCCTACCCCAGCTTCAAAGTAGGCAGGGTAGGAAAACTGTACGTCTCCCGAGTAGCCACCAATGGCTTATCACTAACATAATATCAGGTATCTCCCCGCCATGGCTGTCATTGCAGCCGGTACGTCCCTAACCTGCAAATCTCCCCCACGCAAATCTGACACGATTCAGGATTCGGCATAGCCAATTACCTCACCGAAGCCCAAGCCCAACAAGAACGTCACAGACTCCAAGAGGAAGAGCGAATCCGACACAACCAAAAGCTGATGGAAGCGTACGGGGACAAGGACAGCCTGCATGATGTCCAGCATGCGTTGGATGTCTACGAGATCCAGTAACCCCTCGCTGCTGTCAAATGCGTAATGATTGATGATGTTTGATGGCGTTCAGTCTCGCTTTTCCATTGCGGTCGACAATAGTCTCTGCTGGCAGAATTATGGCGATTCATGGATATATTGCCTTCACTTCCTAGCGAGATTAGCCTTGTGATACTCTTTTCAAAATGTCAAATTACTGCCTTTATTCCGGCCTCATACTACAAGTGGTTCAAGCGTCTTCTTGCATACTACAAAAGAGGGATTCAACAGTACCGCTTCACAATGAGTGCGGGACGGACAACTGGCCAGCTTGCAGCCTATATACCCAGTCTGCTGCCTCTCTCGCAGAGCTTTGCGGTCTACTTTGCCTCCCTGCACCGATTATTAACTTATCAACAGAGCTCTATCGATGAATCTATCGTAGACATAGGCATAGCATCAATGAACTCAACGCCACTCCAAGGCGTTCTCGGACAGAAACTGGAGGAACCAAAGTCAGATTTATAATCTCAAGTATAAGATACTTAACGCGATTGATACAGATGGCTACCAGTCTATATACATGATAGGACCCAGGTTTTTATTGACTATGGAATGCTAACTGAAACTCTGCATGCGCTGCTAGTCATATTCATCTGACTCGCAGGTCGAAGTGCATCATGGATACAGTGTGAATGAAGCACCGAGCTTTAGCATTTGTTACATTTGTGTATTATACATATAATATATGCTAGTATGATAGATCTGCCTTCCTCCATTACGTCTCCTGCTGCTGTGTAGTCTTTACTACAGAGTATACATACACGATTCAATCTTGTTACCGAACGTGAACCTCAAGAGAAAGGCTTCGCTGCTCGTTTTGTGGATTCGAACGGACATTTACTCATTTGCTGACCTTTAGAAAAATGTGACCATAAGCCGGTCCACTTGTTCTTGATCCAATTGAGCCATCCGCGCAGATTCCACTTGCTTCAACGCCACATAATGGCTGAGAATATCACTACGCAAGAGCTCATTCAGCTGCGGCATGGTAGGTCATTCAGATATCAGGAGCTAGGCTATAACTATCTCCTACGGGATTCATCACTCAATCTATTCATGTAATGCCATGGCACCTGAGTACAATGCCTTCGACCCATGCCCCGAATATTCTCAGCGAGTAGCCACCTTCGTGTCATCCTTGACAAACTTGCTAGTTTGATCGCAAACGACAAATGACGAACAGGAGGAATCGAACAGCACTTTAAATCATTAGAGCCATTGTCAATGTCTTATTGGAACAATGCCCTACACTCTCTTCCCCCGTTCTGAGCTCTATAATATCTAGTCCGATCCTAGTCCGACACCACTCCGAAACCCATTCCGACTCGAAAATACAATCTCGACAAGGCCCTCGGTACAAAATGAATAGAAACCATCTGACATTTTGGACTTTTATTGCATGACTTCACCTCTAGTGAAGGCCGATGGTAGATGGTGTGTGTGCAGTGTCTTCTGGATTGCTCCAGTAGATGCTGTAATAGAGCATTCAAATGCTCGCGACAGAAACGCTGCAACGTAACTACCTCAAACTGTTTGACTTGTAGAAACGAGAAATCTCCTCCAATAGGTTCCTCCCCCCGTCCTCCAGTAAGCGCCGAGCGACTTCAGCACCCAGCACCTCCGCGGCATTGTCGTCACCCACATCCGCAGCTGCCCAGGCTGAGACCTGGCTGGTTCCCTGAGGATGAATAATGGTACCTTCAAGCCGCAGACGAGCCAGAGACGGAGAAGCAGAAGGCCCTGGCGTTTCAGCGGTACAATTCACAGCGACTGGGGACGAGCAGCCGCCCTGGAGGGTGCGTAGCAGCGACCGCTCCGCCAGGCACATCTTTCTAACGAGGGGGTCTTCAATCCGCTGGATCCTGCTCCGGGTGTCGGAATCGTGCTCTCGGACTTCGATCCCGAGTGCCCCCTGGCCAACAGCGTAGGGGAAGTCCGATGGCGGTAGGCGTCTGGTGATACGGTGCGCCATGTCGATGCGGACCAGTCCGGCTGTAGCGACAATGATGGCCGCGTAAGGGCCGTTTGGGTCGTCTAACTTTCGGAGCCGAGTATCGCTTGCAGAGTCAGGCCGATTTAGTTCGTACGGAGTATAGCACAAAGAGAATCTGATGTGCAGGAGACATACAGATTCCCGCGACATTCCTCAACCACCAACTGGGGGTACCTAAGTGCCAGCAGAGCCTTCCGTCTCGTGGAACTAGTCCCCACCACCGAGCCCGGGGGCAACTGCGCCAGATCGGAGTACTGGCCTCTCAGGGACTCCTTCACCACCAACGCGTCGGTGGGATCCTCACGATGCACAATGGCCCCCAGCACACAGCCAACTGGTAGACGGGTCGGCATATCCTTCAGACAATGCACCAGCAAGTTCAGCTCGCCCGAGACCAGCTTGGCCTCCATTTCCTCCGTCCAGATATTTTTGGCCGCGTCGGACGGGCCTGCGAACTTGAGAAAGGGGCTGGTCTTGTCTACGTCCCCGCTGACCGACACAGTTCGCCATGGGAATTTAGTCCCGGGGTTGGCGCCGGCCAATGCATTGGAGACGCGCTCAGCCTGGACGAGGGCTAGTTTGGAATTGCGGGTGCCGATGAGGAGTTCTTGCCTAGCAGCCATTTTGGAGATATTGATTTAAACGTTTGGGAGAAAGTGATGTTGAAGGAGAAGAAGTAGAAAAGGGGAATTCCTCTGGGTCAGCTAGACCGGATGAAAAGTTGGCGGCTGCTCCGTAGACAAGCCTCTGTCGGAATATAAAATCCCCTGTTTGGTTAGGCTCGGAGTAATGCATGCTTCGCACCATCACAACCCTCACTGTGATTTGCATCTCCGGAAATGGAACATGAAGCTAAAATATAACAAATATCAAAAACATACAACAACATGTATATATCGGTGCTCACCCACCCTAGTGTCTTTCCCTTGCCGGCGTCGCCGCTTTGCCGCCCATGTTCTGGCGCAGTCATCGATGGGATAGAGGGTTCAAGGGGCCTACAGAGTACATCAAGGCTACGGCTGCGAAACGCCAGAGGAGCACATTCACTCATTCCCACGGCTCAGCTGTCCCGGTCTATCCTAATGCGAATCTTGGCTCAAAGCTCGGCGCAACCATATTTCGCCACGAGGCTGCGAATCCCCGAACCCCTTCGGAACCCGCGGGCCCCGACATTGTAGAGAAACTATACATATGAATCGAGCAATGCTTCAGAGGGCAGACATCTCACCCTATAACCCAAGCCCAAATCATTCCCAGCATGCATCTAATTCCGAGTCTTCGCAAAGCAACATCTACCGAAAGCTTTACAATCTTTGTTGTAGCATTTGCGGTCTTCACGGTGAGTTTTTAGTGTGATCGAGCAGAGAGGATCCATGCTGATGTTCATTGATCAACAGGATGTTTTCCTGTATAGTGTTGTGAGTTGTGCTCTTGGAAGTCAAGCCACTAGACCCATGATCCTGACCTAACCTGATTGAATAGATTGTACCCGGGCTGCCTGCGACGTTAGGTCAGCGTGTTGGTGTTCCTGAAGCAGACCGTATGGCAATCTTCAATTGTGAAGACTATCGCTAACCTACTGGTGCAGAACAGAAATGGGTCTCAGTTTTACTCCTCATATATGGGGCGGGACTATTGATCGGGTCTCGTACGTGTTATTTGATCTTGGTCTTCTATGGACAGGCTAATATCTTCTAACAGCTATTTGCGGCTATGTCGCGGATCGTGTCACTTCGCGGAAAATACCACTCATGGCAGGGTTAGTTGCATTAGGCGGGGCAACTGCGTTGCTGTGTGCGGCACGAGCGATTGCCTTGTGGGTTATAGGACGATTTGTTCAAGGCGTATCTGCAGCGGTTGTGTGGACCGTGGGTCTTGCACTCCTGGTTGATACGGTTGGTGATGCTCGGATTGGAGAGGCCATGGGCTACGTGGGCATCGGCATCAGTTTGGGAGTATCGCTCGGACCGATCCTGGGAGGAGTGTTGTATAATTTTGGTGGCTTCTTTGCGGTGTTTGGGCTATCTTTTGGCTTCATCCTCTGCGACATTATATTTCGCCTCGTGATGCACGACCCAGCAACGCCAGCTAATGAAAAGAACAGCCGCTGAACAGTCATCGTCGCTAACAGCTCGGAAAGCCATCCGGTCTTTGGAAGCCCCGAGGCCCAGCATGTGCCGAATTCGGAGCAATCTGCCTCGAGGCCATCATTGCTTGTCCTTCTCACCACTCCCCGAGTCCTAGTAGCGATGGGAGGCTATTTCAGTCAGGCAACCTTGCTGACGGCCTTTGACTCGGTTCTGCCATTGTTTGTGAAGTCGACTTTTGGGTGGAATCTGTTAGGAGAAGGATTGATCTTTCTTACACTAGCTGTGCCGGCTTTTCTGGAACCTCTCATCGGGAAGATCGTCGACAAGAGGCATTCGGTGAGAAGATACATGGCGGCCGGAGGCTTCCTCCTGGCTGTGCCGGTTCTTACTCTGCTACGCTTTGTGCAGCAAAATTCAGCAGGTCATATAGTTCTTCTCTGCGTCCTCTTGTTCCTGGTCGGCGTGAACATGGCAGTCATCTATCCACCTTTGATGGCGGAAATCACAAACACTGTCACATTGAAAGAGCAGTCGAACCCGGGAATTTTCGGCAAGAAAGGAGCCATGGCTCAGGCTCATGGTTTAATGAACTGTTCCTACGCAGCTGGAAGCCTTGTCGGTCCTATTTTGGGAGGAGTAGTGAGAGAACAATTTGGTTGGCCTACAATGTCGTGGGTATTAGCAGTGTTTAGTGCGGTGGCCTCCGTTCCAGTCGCCCTCTTCCTTGGAGGATGGATTCGTCGATAGACTATACGTTCGGAAAAAGTGGACCAGCTCGGACAGTTCAACGCAGGAAATCCCCATCCATACTATACTCGGGGTCAAATGGTTATTTGAAATATAAGGGATCGATTCCACCCCAGAATAAGGAGTGAAATTTCTGTAAATTCCTCAGAAATGTCGGCATATGATGACATTCATTTTAGAAACTTACGTACCCCGCGACTACTATAACAATGTCATAGAACAATTGACCATACCATTTCCTTGTAGACCTACTTTACTGAGCCAGAGATCTGAGATTGATGTCTCTAGTATTTCTCGAAATCTCCTGGAAGAAGACGGTGGAGCTATGCACATGTGCATGTGTATGATATTCAATTGTGCAGAGGCTAAAGACACGGAAGCACCTTTAATGGCATGAAAAGGCATACATCTGTATATCTATATACTACCTAACATCAATCAACAAGATCCCAAAACCCAGCTGGAGAACTGCGTGATAATTTCTTCGGATTCTGTGAACCACATGGCGGCATATGTCGCCACACCCATAGACAAGGCGATGCTGACAGCAACCTTGCTGAGAGAACGGCGCGGTTTTCGGCTTCGATTGACCTGAAAGTCAGACCACCGAGGGAAGATGGTACGCAACCAGTACTTGTACATGGGATCCGGGTAAATGAAGGTGTTCTTTTTGGTGACCGGATCCATCCACCAGCTCTGGCAGCCACTGTTGAAGACCAGCCGTTTGAGCTTTCCATGCACCCACTTCAGGTCCCGTTCCTGTGCCTCCGGCTTCACCATAATCGAGTCCGCCCTGCCACTCAGCACGGGCCGCAGCAAGCGACAGGTATAGTTGATCTGGCATTCCGAGTGAAAGATGACAGAATGCTGACCAGTGGCGGCATTAGGACCATAGAGGATGAAGAAATTGGGGAAACCGGTGACCACAGTGCCTTTATATGCCTCTGCGCCTCCGGAGGCATCCCAAACTTGGTGCAAGTCCTTACCATCAACACCTCGGACACCAATAGGATAGAGCCACTTTTGAGTCAGAAACCCCGTCGCATAAATGATAGCATCAGCAGGATACCGATCACCGGCATCTGTTATGACGTGGTCCGGACCGATCTTCACAACCCTATCCTTGGTCAAGAACATTTGGGGGGAATGGGGGCAGGCCAGATACGTGGCCGTATTCACCCGACGTTTGCACCCGGGCTCATAGTCCGGCTTAAGGACATCACGATACTGTGGTGGGGCATCGCTCTCAATGTACGAGTACGTGGCATCGCGAATCCTCTGGCGCATAGCTGCGCCTCGGGCAGTCATGAAGAAGGAATAGAAAACGCTCTCCAACTGCCACGCCAGGTGCACCCGGTAGATCCGAGCTGCAAGCGGGACGTACTTCATGACGAGTTTGAAGGCTTCTGAGTATTTTGGATTTCCCTAGGCGATGCGTTCACAACCGAACGGTTAGACGGGGACGAATGATACTGGATATGGAGCCTCACCCGCTTTGTCCACCAATGCGCGCTCCGAACAAACTGAGCGACGCTCCCCTTGGGGCCGACCTCCTTCACCAGCTCCGGCACGAATTGAGTGGCCGATGCGCCGTTCCCCAGAACAACAATGTTCTTCCCTTGAGTCTCCAGGGTGTCATCCCAGCGAGCGCTGTGGAAGATCTTCCCCTTGAAGGTGTCGGCGCCCTCAATGTTGGGGATGAACGGGCGATCCAGGGTCCCAATAGCGCTGATCACCACGGGAGCCACATGCTTAACGACCTCCCCGCTGATCGTGTCTTGGAACGTGCACACCCACAAGGACCGCGCCGAGTCCCAGACCAAGTCGAGGCATGTCTTGTTGAATCGGCAGTGGGGGATAATGTCATATTTTTCAGCCACTGACAGAAAGTCTATCAACTCCAGATTAGCAACAAGCCACGCAATAGAGGGCAGTGGCGAGCCTACAGTCATGTAACTCGTCGCGGCCCGGGTACGTGGTCGACCAGTCTGGCTTCAAAGCAAAACTGTACGAGTAGAAGTGACTGGGGATGTCGCAGGCGCATGCAGGGTACCGGTTATGCCACCAGGTCCCTCCGATATTGTCCGATCTCTCGTAAATGGTAAAGTTATCGTGTCCCAACATGCGCTTTAGCTGAACGGCCATTCCAAGGCCAGAAATGCCTCCGCCAATGATAATCACTTCCTTGGACTGATCCATCGTGAGAGTCAATTCTTCCGTCTATGCTGGAACTGAAGCCGTGGTTGATAACCCTGCGGACGGTTGGGGTGGAAGGATGCTTTGATGGACATAGCGAGGTCTCAGGCTAGGGGTCCAACACGTTCTATTTATGAAGACCAAGCCGTCGTTACCCATCTTACTGCCAGAATGCATGTCTGCCTTCAATTCGGCTCTGTCGCCGATCCACCGGCAGTCTTGAAGTTTCTGTGGGGTAGAAAAAGGTCAGTCCAACCGCTCCCGACTTTGTCGTCGCTTCCACTTGCCTCCGTCGTTGCAAGTGCTGTCCTGACGGGGAAGATTGTTACCTGACTATTGCCCTAAGCCGCTGAATGTTGGCTGTATTCTTGTTGCTCGTCTCATTGTCACTATCCATCCCCACCACAAGTGACTCGCTTTTGCCAGTGGTCATACATTTCTCCCAGGAACTTTGAGTCTGCTCCAATCCCCGTCGTGGCTGGACCTTTACACTTGGCCGATTCGACTAAAGGATTTCTCTCTCGGCCCTGTCAGGCTCACACCTTTGAAGTGGCTAGTCTGGGTTGCGCGACGGAGTTATGCCGGTACTACCTTCAGCAGATCACAGGACAGAGACTATGAGCTGTGATCAACGTGACTGCTCGATCTGGCCCAATGGCTTCTATATCACATTTACGTGCCTTCAGACTTCATCGTCTAGTCGCGAGTATCTACCTGAAACGCCTGGAATAACTGTCAAGTCAAGTGTGACGGACGCCTATCGACACGCATAAATCTCTATTCTCACGGTTGTACCATAGATTCCGCCAACACCGTCTCCCCTTGTCGGAGCAATGTATCTCGACTGTAACTAATCCCGGGCAAGTCCGTCCTTTATACCATTCACAACACTAGCCGCCCCTATAGCGCCGGGGTCCGGGAGACCGCCCTCTGCGACGAAATGATTCCTGTTCGCATAGCTCGCTCTGCCCAATACCGGAGCCAAGCTGCGCGTACTCTCCGCACCGGAGACGGCGGCAGCACACGCCTTCTTGAGATCCTGTTCTACCGCAAATGTTCCAATGAAAGGGATCAACGCGTCCATGAGGGTGCGGTGGCCTTGTCGAGCGGGCGTGTATCTATACAACTCCGCCAGGCCATCCTGAAGGGCTTGGGACATGGCAAAGGCCAGACCATCAGCGGATGAAGTAGCAACATTTCTAGTCGCGATCGCATTGGAGACAGCGTTGAAGAAGATGGCGTAGATCGCGCCCGAGGTGCCGCCCATGCCTGTTCAATGACGGACGCGATATGTCGGAGGACAAAGGAGAGGTCGAGGGTGTCTTCAGGGGAGCATTTGAGTTCACGAACAATGACTAGAACAAGTTTTAGGAATGGCCTAATGGCACGCTGAGGAAGAAACGGGGCCCTCTTACCGTTTACCCCGTTCACAAGGGTCTCTCCACAATCTCCGTCGCCGGCAATGGTATCGTATCGGGTGATGAGGGGTTCTGTCTCGGTGATGGACCGAGCAACGGCGGCGATGACTTTCTCAACCACGCGCCCAGAAACTGTGTAAAGCGGCTCTGCCGAACTGGTAGTCCCTGCCACTGCAATGGGCTTGACGATTCGGTTCTTGAGACCGTCCAAATCGGCCTTGGAAGAGGAGGGCCAGGCCGGAGCGGTTGTTGGCGCACCCAAAAGCTCGTCAATCTCTTCGTCCAGACCAAGTAGAGTAACCGAAAAACCCGGTGCATCCAAAGATGGCACGAAAGTTCCCGAGACGATACGCTTGATCCTAAAGTTCTCATGGCGGAGTTGACAAGCGAGCTCGTCTGCAATCACATTCAATTCTAAAATACTCAGGCCTCCAAGATTGTTCACCATGAGAGCCATTTCCTGCCGCTGCTGGGGATACCAGCGCTGTGAGCTCGGCCTTGTGAGCATCCGGAGGACATTGGAAACAGTTTCTTGTAAGCTTGGAATCGCGCTGCGCTGAACGCCGGGCTCATTGTGGATCCCCATCCCATACTCGAGTTCCCCGAAAGGAAGGGACTCTTGGTCTGCGCGTTGAGGGACGCTGCAACGATCCAGACTGACCCCAACGGTGACTAAAGAATCGGCCACCGTCTGAGCCAGGTGAGTCACTCGAGCGAGATCTGCTCTACCTCAACTGTTAGCATATCTACTCTATTTCTTGGGATTCAAAAGACTCACCCCTTAGCAGCAGCAGCGCCGGCGACCTTATGGACGAACACGACACCAGCCATTCCACGTCGCCCGACGAGACCGGGGTGCTCAATCGAGACATCATCACCAACAACAACCACATTGACCGCGCGACCATCAGCCTTGGCCTTCTCGACGGCGAGCCCGAAGTTGAGCCTGTCTCCCGTGTAGTTCTTCACACTGACCAGTGCTCTACGTTCTGTCAGCGAATGTGACTGCTAATCTCGAACGGCGAAGAAACGTGAAGATATGGAACCCACCCTCGCGGAGTACTCAGCGCGTTTAACCCACTAAGAATCTGCTTCGCCGACGGCGAGGCGAAGATATTCCCTGCTACGCAGATATCCAGCATACCTTCACCGAGGTAGCCAGCATGCGCAGGCTCATGGCCCGACCCACCTCCAGAGAGCAGAATGACTTTCTGTGATTCCGAGGCTTGCTGACAGAAGAGCACTGGCTGGCATCTTTAGTATATCTTATGAGTTGACGGGAGGAATCCTCGACTCCGTACCCTTCTCTGATTCGATCAACCGTAGGGCAGGGTCACGAGCGAGCTGCGCACGCAGTGCCCTATCAACGGGTACATCAACATCATTTATAAAATGCTTGCCTGTCTTTGCGTGTCAGAGGGCTGGAATCTGCTTTTTAATGAGGTATGGATTACCTAGAGACATTGGCAGGGGTCCGCAGACTCTGAATAGATTCGAGCGGGAACAGCAGCGACAGGACAAGAGACGACCGAAGCCTGGAGAAAACGAGATGAGACTAGATACGACAAGGGAACTACGATAGAAATGTGGAAGCTGCTGGGTGAACACTTATACTTGGGCCTGTGTGGGAGTACGGGAACGTGCTGGGGAGAATTCTGATAGTCGCAATATGCATACTAAGTGTGCCACATTGTATGACTTGTCCATGGATCCCACACAGAAGTAGACAAGCCACGGGAAAGCTCCTTCTGGCCTTGTGTGTCTGGATGAATTATACTTTGCAGCATCATCTTAGATATGGTGCGCGCAGACGGTGAAATTGGGCAAGTGGAAGCACTGGGGAAACCCCACCCCACCCTGGGGATACAAAGAGTTAGATATGTTGATCGAATGTGACTCTGTGCCTAGGTGTGAGCCACCCCTTCAGCCAATAACCTTGTCAAGGGTAGTGGTAGTCATACCGGCGAAAATAGCGTATGTAGTCTTAGGGCCTGTGGTCAAAACGCGAAAATGGTGGCTCGACCTGGGTTATGTTACTTACTCCTTTAGACATCAATTGCGGTGTCTATTTCCTCTAACAAAACCACTAGCTGCAAACAATTATCCTACATCTATCCTACTGCTACGTTGATGATTACTGATAAGGCCTACCAAATTTTCAGGCACCAGAGTTATATGAATATAGCAAACGGTTCCAAGTCTAGATGATGGACAGTAAAAACACACAATCGAATCGAAACCTGGCTAGCGTCCACCGTAGAGCTGCGAGGGTTACAAGTCCACGAACTCATGACGTAGAAGACCATCCTCCTTCAGCTTGGATAGATATCTCTGTACCTTGACCGCCATAACCGGAATGTCATACCCAAAGAACTCGTAGGCCGCTTTACCAGGTAACGAGTGACCGAAGCGTTTCAGACAGATGCCCGCGTCCGCGTAACGTTCCCATCCGTTAGGCGCGTACGGCTCGATGACCACGGCGGGAATGCGATGGCGCTGTAGCGTTGCACGCTTGTACTCGAGGGACTGCTCCTCAAACAGGCGCTGGCAGGGGAACGACACCACTCTGCTCGCGATATTCTGCTCCTTCAGTCTATCAGCGACTTCTAGCGCGAAGCTGAGCTCGGCGCCCACGCCGATCAGGGTGACATCCGCATTGGTATCTTCCTCGAGTACGTAGGCTCCCAGGGCAACACCGTCACGACGAGTCAGTCCCTTCATTCGGGGAACCTTGTGGCGGGAGGTCGAGATGATGGACGGAGTACGCTTGGCTTGAATCGCCGCAATCCAGGCCCCGGCGGTTTCCTCGCTGTCACCCGGACGGATGTAAAGGATATTCGGCATGGCGCGAAACAGGCTGGCCAATTCGATGGGCTGGTGGGTGGGCCCGTCCTCCCCCATCCCGATGGAATCATGGGTGGCGGCGTGAATGACCTGGAGGTGCTGGAGTGCGCCCATGCGGACAGCGGGAGCGGCATACAGATAAAACATGAAGAAAGAGGAGGTGACCGGGATCAAGGCGTTGGGGGCATACGCGGCCATCCCGTTGGAGATGGCTGCCATGGCGTGCTCGCGCACACCGTAATGGATATATCGACCGCGGTATTCGCCATTGATGCCGCAAGCAGTGCGGAGGCCAGGGGGTTGGAAATCGACCTTTCTAGGCCAGGCCATATTCACAGACGGAGATAGGTCTGCAGTGCCAACCATGAACGACCTGCATTTTTCGGCGATGGGGGTAAAGACAAGGCCGGACGAGGCACGAGTGGCTGTGGGAGTTTCTGGGAAACTGGCCGGGATCAGATCTTTCCAGTTCCCAGGAAGCTCACCACGCATGCGGCTCCGGAATTCAGTCCCCAACTCAGGATAGTTGTCACAATATGTGTCCACCAGCTGGTTCCATTCCCGCACCAAGGCCTCACCACGAGCGGGTAAGTCGGCAAAAAATGCACGCACACGATCACTAATGATGAAGTGTTCTTCGGCGTTGAACCCATAGGCGATCTTCTGAGCTGCAACATCAGCCGCACCAAAAGCAGCCCCGTGGGCGGCAGCTTGACCAGCAACTTTGCTTCCAAGACCAATGACCGTGTGGCAGTTGATGAAGGTAGGCTTGTCGGTAGACGCGCGAGCCTTCTCCAGCACAGCGACGATGCCCTCAATATCGAAGCAGCCGTCCTCGACATCAATGACGTCCCAGTTACAGGCGCGCATTTTCGCATTGATGTCCTCGGTGTTGGTAAGATCCACCGAGCCGTCACAGGTAATCTGATGTTGTCGTAGATGATAGTGAGGTTGTTCAACCTCAGATGCCCGGCGAAGGAGATGGCCTCGAGGGCGACACCCTCCTGGAGACATGCGTCACCGACCATACACCAAGTATGATTGCTAACAACGTCGAAGCCAGGCTTGTTGAAGGTTGCTGCCAGATTCTTCGTGGCCATAGCCAAACCAACCGCGTTCGCCACGCCCTGCCCCAGGGGGCCCGTCGTAACTTCAATACCCTCATGCTCGATCTCGGGATGCCCCGGGCAGAGCGCATCCACACGGTCCGAGTGGTATGACTTGAGCTGTTCCAAGGTCATGGCCCTGTATCCCGACAGATGGAGGAAGGTGTATTGGAACAAACACGTATGGCCGTTGGACAGAACGAAGCGATCGCGATTGAAAAAATCCGGGGAGAGGGGGGCATAGCTCATCACGTATTTCCAGAGGGAGACACCGATGGCGGCCATCCCGATGGCACCGCTGCGGTCAATGAGTTTGTGATTTGCAAGTTTGTCTTATCCAGAGAGAACATACCCAGGATGACCACCATTGTATTGCTGGCAAAGATCGGAGATGAGTAGACGAAAAGTCTTCAAGACGTGGTCATGCTCAGTGGAGAGTTTGTGAACAAGAGGAAGGGCAGATGCGGTCATGTTTCACTGAAGCCTATGGGCATATATCAAGTTCAGACTATGACTGGAAAGAAGTGATGGAAACAAAAAAGAACCTAGGAGAGAACGAGGAGAGGAAGAAACATTAAAATGAAGACTGATCCTGGCCACATCTCGTCTACATATGTCGTGTTAGACGGAAAACAAGCCTCGGGGAATCCCCGAATAGCTGAAGGCTGCCGGCAACTCGAAGCGCAGCGCCTAGGGGTGCATGGGGTTGCTAAAACCACTTCCCCCGCGTTTTGACCAAATACATAGAGCAACAATCGCCGGCAAAAGGGCACAGGAAATTAGATACATAAAGTGTCATCCCCGCCTTCTCATTCATCTCTCCTCCCTACACTGACAATCAGACACATTTCTCTCATTCAACCGCAGGCTTTGACTCACTCGGAAATCACAATCTGCAGAATGAATGAAACCGTCATTCAGACTAGTTTTCCCAATCCTTCGCTGCAGGTTACTGCTGACCATAACCTGAAGCAAGTGGAAGCTCCCGTCTATGCCCCAAAGAAGGGAGAGGTGCTGCTCCAGGTGAAAGCTACGGGGATCTGTGGGTATGTGCCCGTTGCTTTTTCTCTTTCTGCGCGACGTTGTTTGGAAATAACCCGTGAACAGGTCGGACATCCACTTCTGGAAAGCCGGTCGAATCGGTTCCCTCCTCGTTGAAGGCGATTGTATTCTGGGCCACGAGGCTGCTGGCGTTGTTTTACAGGTCGGTGACGGCGTCACCACCTTGAAGCCAGGTATGCTGCAATGGACAGAAGACATGGAAGAGCCGCTGGACCTGACAGACATAGGTGACCGCGTGGCCATCGAACCCGGTGTGCCCTGCGCCAACTGCTTCTTATGTCGCGACGGCCGGTACAATCTCTGCGAAGAGGTGCAATTCGCGGGGGTTTACCCTTACCACGGCTCGCTACAGCGATACAAAGTCCACCCGGCTCGATGGCTCCATAAGCTGCCAGACAACGTTTCCTACCTGGAGGGGGCGCTGCTTGAACCCCTCTCCGTCGCCATGTATGGTGTCCGCAGTGCTGGGCTAAGCCTCGGGCGTGGAGCAGTTGTCTGCGGCGCTGGTCCCATTGGTCTGTTGACCCTGGCTGCTGCTCGTGCGTCCGGTGCGCACCCGCTTGTCATCACTGACCTTGACGCCCATCGCTTGGACTTCGCCAGGGAGTTCGTTCCGGGGGCAATGGTTTATCAGATCAATCGGGACCTCAGCGCTGAAGGAAACGCCAAGGCAATCCGGGCATTGTTCGGAGACGACGAGTATTTCCCCCCCGCGACTGTTCTGGAGTGTACCGGTGTGGAGAATAGCATCTGCACCGCTGCTTATACAGTGCGGCGCGGCGGCACCGTCATGGTTATCGGGGTAGGGAGGCCGATTATGAATAATCTGCCATTCATGCACATCTCTTTGGCGGAGATTCGGCTGCAGTTCATTAACCGCTACTGTGACACGTGGGCTCCAGCTATTCAGTGCTTGGCGGGCGGGATTTTGAGGGATTTGAAGAAGTTGGTGTCTCATACGTTTCCCTTGGAAAGGGCCAGAGATGCCCTGCAGTTCTGTTCCGATACCAGGAATGGCGGTATCAAGGTTATGGTGGTGGACGAGGTGGATGCCGCTTTGTGATTTCTTTCTCTTTGTATCTTGACAGGGGCAATGAACCACTTTCAGTAGATGTACTGGTAATACAGCAGAGACTATAATGCTTGTACCCTAATCATGGATCTTCCCTATTATACATGTTCAGGAAAGTAACTTTCTATATTTACCGGCCTTTCCCTTCTACCCCAGACCCCAGAGCATTCTTAGACTGGCGGCGCGATCCGAGGTCTTCCAGCCAGTCTCCCGCTCTATCCGAGCTAGATGTTTCAGTAGGAGTATTTTTTCGGTAGGGTACTCTTCCTCTGTTGACCAGGAAGCGAGCTGCGCGGTGGAACTCGTTGTCCCAGGGTTGCCACGGGTCAACGACGAAACAAATAGCGACTGGAAATCCGGTGATTCGTCTGGATGAGCCCTCCTGGTACGTGAGGCTGTGCTGCTGCCGGCAAAAACTGTACCCGCGATGTATAGAGGTTGGAGATGATTTACCCAATTTGCACTAACCATCTTCAATCAGTCGAAAGCGGGAAAAAAGGACTAGGTCGCAGTTTGCCGGCCGCCTAACATTGAACCACAAAAGCCACTTACTGGGACGGATTGGACATTGACAGGCCAGCGAGCTGGCGCGCATGCCAGACTGCGCTATCCTAGAAAGCAAGCAAAAAGCACATCGAGTCAGTCGCAGATAACCAGAAGGGACACCTGGAAACACCACATACAGCGTTTTCCACGGGAGAAGGGGTACTTTCTGATATGACAGGAAGAAGCCCCGTCTGTAGGAGCAATATGGAGCCAGCATGGTAGAAAGTGTTGCCGCAAACTAGTCAACGACTTCAGTCAGCGAGTGCAGGGAAGCCAATGGGGATGACTCACTGGACGAAGACCGAGTGTACAGCACCGTTGGGAACACTTTGGAAGGCGAGGCGTCTGTCAAGAGTGGGCACACCTCCTGGGGACGGAGCCGGTGCCACTCCTGAAGCTCATTCCAGAGGCTTGACACGGAGGTGGCGAACTTAGACCGGAGCCTGTTTTCGGAGTAGCCAGAGCCGGACAGCAAATTTACGATTTTGGCAAAAATCAGAATGGCTAGATTACGGTAGTCGTCCACGTTCCCCCTCGCAGCGACGGATTCAATGGACATATCGTCTAACCAGAAGTCGGTTGGGATGAGCGTACTCTTTCCGCTGATGAAGGCCGCCCAGACATCTGCTCGTCGAGTGGTTTGTCAACGTCATCAGCCACTGATTCCCAAGACAGTCATTCCAGTCTTGCAATGATGACCTACCAATTCGCGCAAACGCCCAAAAGCAAGACTTCACGATGCCCTGACTCGACCCGTTCCACTTCTGGACCTGGAGAAGACCAGCGCAGCCCTAAGAGCAAAAGCCATTCTTGGTCAGTCACGCCGCATGGAAAACATAGAACACAAGCAGACCTTCAAGTGCCGTCGCCACTCATGAACCCCTGACGCCATCATCTCGTACACACTGAGTAGGGTGCAGGTTGCCAACACGGAGGCATCCGCTTTTCCAGGATCTTGCTGGAGAAGTAACTGGATGGTGTACTGGTACAGTTCCAGCGTCACTGATCGTTGGCGACGCTCCACATAGTCCAGCTGGCGCGAGGCCAGGGACATTGCAGCGGCCGCAAACGCGGCTGATTTCATCATATCGTGGATACTCCGTAGCGTGAAGTGCATTTCGGAATCGGTTGTCTCACACCAGGTGCCAGTTTCCTGCATATAGGAACAGATAAGACGGGCTTTCTCCGCAGTAGATACAGGCAGCGAGGGTTCGGGTGGCGGGGGAATGTCCTTGGAAATCGCCTGGCCGATCGAGAAAGGTGGGGCGTATGTACTTGGTGCTGCCGCTGTTGCAACACCGAATGACGGAGGGCACGTCGACTCGGACAATGGAGAGAAAAGGAAGCCCAGAGACGTTCGCTTCAGGGTCTGCTCGGTGGATTGTGGATCTGGCTGAGACAGCAGATCCCCGATGCTGAGGCCGCCGCCTGCTAGCCTTCGACTACTGTCCAGAGCCGACAGCTGAGAGAAATCATATGCATGGAGGCAAGTTACATCAGAAACCCCCAAATCGCTCTCCGTTCCGGAGTCACCGGGATCTCCTGAAGAAGTGGACCCAGCCTCACTATTCGCGAGAGCTTCTCCAGGGTCCTCTGTCCGTTGTCGGTCATCCAGCTGATCAGGGTCCAGGGACGGGCCAGGTAAATCGGAATCCACGTGGTAACTACGGACAATCTCCTCGGTCTCATCAATAATCTGCACGACAAGTCAGTCTTCGGAAAGCATGGAAAGATAGTGGTCCCCCCTCGTGTCGGTGAGGAGGCAGGGACGGACCGAGAAGGATTGGAGTTGAGCAGGCAGAAGATCCCGCCGATCTTCGATCGCCGTCAGGGCTGCGGTTTTGCGATGAGAAAGGCTGAAATTGCGGGATGGGTGGAAGGACGCCTTGAGACCCCATTGGCAAGTGCAGCCCCGAGACTCGCAGTTTCGACACCTTGGGCGGGCCCCATCACCTGTCCGAAAGTAGCCAACACTGTAAGTCACCATGCCCGTGGATTCCCTGCCTTGCAATATCACGCAAGACTTACATTTCCGGCGACGACTCCGGCACGGTAGGCTGCAGGTTGTATGCAAGTCAGCTGGTGGCTTAAGAAACCGGGCCACAGGAGTAATTGGCTCCTACCAGCCAGACCTGGTTCGTTTCCTCAGAGGCACTCCTTTCCTAGCAGTACTTCTGCCGCTGCTCGTCCTCATGCTGATTCGGCCCTTTCAACAATGCCACGGCGTACGATAGAAAGGGCAATTGCGCTGGTGACAAAAGTGAACATGAATGTGGGGACGGCAAAGACGGAGTACTCCGCGTAGTAGTATAATCAGGTGAGGGGTAGCAAACTTTACTCCAGGGCAAGTGGAAGCGCCGTAGGCAAAAGGTAAAGGCCTTGCCAAGATCCACTTAAGATATTGGGAAAAAAGCATGCGGTGTTGTACTGTGGGCCAAGCTCAACGCTTCGACCTGCCTTTTTTCCGAACAATGGTTCTCATGTGAGTGTTGCGTTTCCGCCGGCTGGCTGTGCTTCCCTGACCCTTGAATTCTATTACTGCACCCTACCGAGACAATTGCCATTTCTCTTCTAATAATTGCTGAGAAGAAGTCAGCTTAGACGGCCTTTTCTTCACATCGAGGATTTGTCTGCATCAGCATAAGATGGCGAGAGGATCTAACACAGCCCTTGTTGTACGCGTGGCCGACGGCGAATCGCAAAAACTGTGCAAAGAGGACATCCCGATCCCTTGTCCAACAGCGAATCAAGTGCTTGTGAAGATATCTCATGTCGCGCAGAACCCAACCGACGGTATGTCCTGCACTGGATACTGAGGTATTTTATTTTCTGAACTCATTCTTCCAGTCCAATCCTTTGATCGAAACGCCTTCGGTGATGGAGCTGTTCTTGGTTGCGATTTTGTTGGAGAGGTCGTTGAGCTGGGCAGCCACGTCACCCGGTTCGCCAGGGGCGACCTTGTGGCAGGGTTGATATGGGGAGGTAAGCGATTGATGCTATAGCAGTGTTGCCCTGGCCTATTATAGGCCGTGAAAACCCTTGTTCGGTTCCAAAGCTCATGCCTGTTCCCTTTCAGGAGAAACCAAGGGCTTGGGCGGATACAGTCAGTACTGCGTGGCAGACGAAAGGATATCGTTCAGGGTCCCTGCAATCATCCCACGCGAGAATGCTGCCACGGTTCCCCTGGCCTCAACTACCGCATGGCTGGCCTTGTTCTCCAAAAACTGTCTCGCCCTAAATCGCGTCCAGGCTTAAGGTACCAGCTTGCTGGTTTGGGGCGGCAGCTGTAAGTGCCAGGAAAGCCTACAGAAGCAGTCTATGTGGTCTGACTTGTCACAGCAAGCGTTGGACTTTACGCCATTTAACTCGCCTCGATCTATGGCTTTGATGTGGTGACGACCTGCAGCCCGAGGCATGCTGACTTGGTCCGCTCATACGGTGCCAAGCATGTCTTTGACTACAACGACCAGGGAGTTGCCGCCGCGTGGTTCCAGGTCTCAATCATGTCTTTGATACCATCGGAAGCCCCACCTCGTCCAGCACCGCCTCGCTCGCCCTCACGGAGGGGTAGGAAACCTCTGTACCGTACGACCGGGCAAGGCCAACACCAAGGGCGTCGCCGCCGGCACGCACGTCACAAATGTCCTGGTGTGGACAGCTTTCCTGAAGGATCACAGTTATGGCGAATTCAAGTGGCCTGTATGTACTCGCCTCTCTAGCGCCAACCCTCCCGTGTACGGATCTTGGTGAGCTGCCTTGTGAAGCCAGGCTGATTCAATATGTCTCCAAATGATTTAGGCTTCGAAAGATGACCATGAGCTTGCCAGCGAACTATTCGAGAATTTGCCCTCGTGGTTGGAGGAAGGCACCATCAGACCAAATAGCGCGAAGCTCCGTCTCGGATTGGACGCAGTTTCGGAGGGGTTTCAGGAATACAGAGATGGGAAGATCTCCGCCTACAAGTTAGTGTATGAACTGTGAGAGGATACAAATGCTGCTGAGGATACAGAGAGGATATGCAAGGGGAGACAACTGCAGATCCCCTATACAATGACCACTCATTTGGCTCGGTTATACGGCGATGCCTTGATGAGGAGTATTCAATTAACCTGCTGACACGCAACCTGTACTGCTACTTTGACCAGAGCCAGTGCTTGCATCAAGTCTACCGTACGGTAGATTTAGACTAACAATTTGAGAATATTGAATATGGCATTCGTCATAGATTCCTCGACCGCTTATACCAAGAGAGACTCGCACAATGCGCTTAGTTAAGGGGAGGAATATTCTGCCATAGATCTTGCAGGTATAGAGCAGATGTTGCCTACAGCCGTCCCTTGGAATCGTAGCGCAGCGGAAATCAGAATGGTCCTTGGCCAAATTTGTCGCGCCGTTCAGAAAGGACATCCATATTTATCTTCAAGACGTGCCCACTCATCCTCGCTCATGAGCTCCCTTGCACAATCTGCGGCTCTAAAATCCTGCCAGGAACATGTAACGCCTCTTACAAATCCATCGACTGTCGGAACCCGGAGAAGCACTTGTACGTCCTGCGAACGCGGACCTGGAAGCGCACCCACATATTCCGAGTTCCTGATCAACCCTTCCAGGGACTGCCGTTGCATCGCAGGAGCGGAATGTACACGGTACAGGGGGAGGCCTTGAGAGCATTCGGAGGACCTGGAGAAGTCTAGTTTATCTCTCGAGTCGGCCCCGCCTTCTTGTAGCGCATCCATCACCCTCGCTGGTCGACAGAAGCGAAAGATCGATTTTCCGAGGCTCAAAAAGCATGACCTTCTATTTAGTTAACCGGTATCCTCTGGTTAGACGTACAACTATACGAGGGGAGCTCTCACGATTGTGCAACGCTGGGTTCCTCATCTGCCTCGGTTGGAATTGGTAGGTCGTTTGCTTGAGGCCGTGGACGAGAGGCCTTTTTGAAAATTGTCCGTTCACGGACTTGAAAGTGCTTTTGAATCGATAGAGGACTCAATGCCATGTCATCCTCCTTTTATGCTGTCGCTTATACGGATAATTCGAAATGCATCGGTCAGTCTGCTTTTACGATTATCTTTCTGTAATTCATGGAATGCCAGGTCTCTTAAATCAAGGCACCCAAAGAGCAGTCACAGGTATCTGTGCAGCATAAACTTGTCTGGATCGTTCTTCTGAGTCAAATTAGGACGTCAACTGTTGGTCAAGGTTAGGCGGCGGCTCTGGTTCCCAAATTTGGCGACCCCATAGTGCCTGTTTGAGGTGGTTCGGCTTGCCGTACCTCATAAGCTCAGAATTTCCATCTTTATAATGTTCGATCGCTGGGCTTGCGTGAATATGACATGTCTATAATGCGGCCTGAAGCATCTCACAACTCACTATTAAGCGTCTAGGCTTGCATAGCGCATGAGGAGCTTTAGCTTTCGTTCTTTTCATAGTGAGAATGTGGGGGGGCGCGATCTATGACTATGGATATAGGGCTAGCCAAGGCGCCAAAGTCACAGGTTGAAGCCCCCACCATGGGGTAACACTAACATCTACTCCATACTGATGGGGACTTCATACCAACCTCCAAGGAAAAGTGTGACTGGAATACATGATGCAGCACTAAAGCCTGCCAGTAATCACGATATTGTCAACCAACCATACTTATCCTGGATCATCCTCCAAAAATCAGTCCAGCAAGGCTTCCAGAAGCCTAGGCATAGTTCATCAAACTGTGGGCCTGAGCCACAGCCCCTCAACTACCAAAAATGCTGGGGTGCAACTTCTCCTTCATCATGACCATGTTCATGATTTCCGCCATTAGGGGGGATACAAATGCCATATTCACACCGATCAAGAACAAAAGCACACATAAAAGCACAATTTGCCGCAGTGAATCATCTTGTACAAAGTACAGCAAGGCCTTTCGGAATCCGCGGCCTCCGGCGTACTGCAATGCCGCCACCATTGTTTGGGTAACACGTACAGGCTGGGGATGAAACCGTAGAAATCAGATTGAGGGGTCCCGGGTCCCGCGGACCTACTGTCCTCGGAACCCTTGACTATGACGACAAGAAACTGCAGGTAACAAGAGGTATTGGTGGTGCAAGTATATCTTGCACCTCGCCTTGGACCCTTGGACCTTCGACTCAATGACCGACCACATTCTCGCGTTCTTTCCGGCTGAGCAATGGCTCTTCAAAACTCCAAGATCATTCCTATCCCCGAGCCTCGGGGTCTACCTTTCATCGGCAACATAGCTGAGTTCAGGTCGGACGATTACCTGCAAGATCTCAATCGCCTTCACGACACCTATGGTGAGTACTCGATTGCTTGGACTCTGGATAGTGCTGAGTAGACAGGCGAGATCTATCGACTGAAGTTCCCAGACGGAAAGTCATACGTCTGCGTCGGGTCCAATAAGCTCGTCAATGAGCTCTGCGACGAGTCACGCTTCCAAAAGTCCCTGAAATCAGAGCTCGGCGAGGCTCGCCTTATAGTCCATGACGGGCTCTTCACCGCTCAAAATGACGAGGAGAACTGAGGCATTGCCCACCGCATCCTGATCCCAGCCTTTGGTCCCGTCGCGATCAGGGGCATGTTCGACGAAATGTACGACATTGCCACCCAGATGGCCATGAAGTGGGCGCGTCACGGTCCTTCACACCCGATAGCAGTCACCGAAGACTTTACTCGTCTCGCATTAGATACGCTGGCTCTCTGTTCTATGGACTATTGATTCAACTCGTACTACAAGGATGAGCTCCACCCATTCGTCCAGAGTATGGGAGACGCTCTCGTCGAGATTGGGAAGCGGTTCCAGCGACCACGCTGGGCTCGGCTTTTTTATCGTGCGTCCGAGCGGAAACTCTTCGACGATATCGAACTGATGCGCAAGACGGCTGACCAAGTCGTCAAGGTGCGACGGGCCAATCCCCAGGGGGGTCGGAGGAAGGACTTACTGACAGCCATGATCGATGCTGCGGACCTGAGAACAGGCAAGAAGTTGAGTGATGAGAGTATCACCAACAATCTCATTACGTTTCTCATTGCAGGACATGAGACAACCGCCGGCACGCTATCATTTGCGTTCTATTCCCTGCTCAAGAACCCAGTCGCGTACCAAACGGCCCAAAAAGAGGTTGACGAGGTCATGGGAAGGGACCCCGTCACGATCGACAAGATTTTCAAGCTGAAGTATATCCCTGGGGTGAGTTCCTGCTATCCCCTGCAGTAGGGCTACGGTTACTCCTCGGTGCCTTAAAGTGGATCCTAACGATGCTACTATAGGTGCTTCGCGAGACTCTCCGTCATTGCGCTCCCATCCCTGGCTTCTATCTTGAGCCCCTGGAGGACACTCTTCTAGGCGAGGCGTATCCCGTCAAGAAGGGCGAGGCGATCATCGCATATCTGACCAAGACACACCTTGATCCCGCCGTCTTCGGTGAGGACGCGAATCAATTCAAGCCCGAACGCATGACGGACGCCAACTTTGATCGGCTCCAGAAGGAGTTCCCCAATTGCTGGAAGCCGTTCGGTAACGGTATGCGAGCCTGCATTGGCCGGCCGTTCGCATGGCAGGAGATGCTCTTGGCTATGTCCGTCCTCCTTCAAAACTTCCACTTCTACATGGACGACCCTAGTTACGACTTGCGAATCATGGAAACTCTGACGATCAAGCCCAAGGACTTCTATATGCGTGCTTCGCTGCGCCACGGCATGACAGCAATAGACCTAGAGCGTAGGCTTCGTGGTGCAGGGGGGTTGGACAAATCAAACGAGGGGCCCGAGGAAGCATCCGCCCAAAGGTTTGACGGGCCCAAGGGCGCGTCACTCAGTATCTTGTACGGCTCCAATAGTGGGACCTGCAAGGCGCTTGCTCATAGACTTGCCGTCGATGCCCAAGCACATGGATTCAGTGCGACAAGAGTGGACTCTCTCGACGCCGCCAGGGACAGTCTACCGACCAACCAGCCCGTGGTCATCTTCACATCGTCCTATGAAGGTCACCCTCCTGATAACGCCAGGCACTTCGTGACCTGGCTCGAGACCCTTGTCGGCAGAGAATTAGGCAGGGTCTGCTACTCGGTGTTCGGTGTCGGCAACCGCGAATGGGGAAATACGTTCCATAAAGTCCCGAAATTCATCGACGAGGCGCTGGCACAGCATGGTGCAAAGCGACTCGCGGCTGCAGGGTTCACCGACGTCTCCAGCAGGGACCCTTTCACCGACTTTGAAACCTGGGAGGATGATCTCCTGTGGCCCGCTCTGGAGAAGGAATATGTCATCTCTAAGCCAGACAATTCGGCCGCCCTCCACGGTCCATCCGTTCAGGTCTCCGTGCCTCGCAGTTCAATCTTACGTCAAGATGTCCGAGAGGCCATCGTCACCGCTACGAGAGACCTCACACCTCCAGGTGTGCCGGCGAAAAAACACATTGAGATCAAACTCCCCACAGGGACCTCCTATTGTGCGGGTGACTACCTTGCCGTTCTGCCGATGAACCCGCGGGTGACCGTCGGACGCGTCTTTCGCCGTTTCCAGCTCTCCTGGGATGCGGTCCTCACCGTCCAGGGCGACCAGTGTACGCCACTGCCTACGGACCAGCCGACGTCTGCGTGGGATGTGTTGACCGCCTACGTTGAGCTTGCGCAGCCGGCGACAAGGAGGAATGTCCTAACTCTAGCGGGTTATGCTCGGGAGGCCGGGGAAAAAGAGCGACTCGAACAACTTGCCGGTGATCAGTTCCAACATGAGATCACGGAGAAGCGAGTCTCGGTGCTGGACTTGCTCGAGAAGTACCCCTCGGTGGAGCTTCCGATCGGGCTGTTCCTCGGCTTGTTGCCCCCTATGCGCATCCGGCAGTAGTGAGTCACCCCTACAGGCTTCTCACCCAGCAGCATACTAATCGCTGCTAGCTCGATCTCCTCCTCGCCCCTGAAAGACCCCCACTGCGTCTCCCTCTCCTACTCCCTCCTCGACGAACCCTCCCTTTCGGGTCAAGGCCGGCACATTGGCGTCGCGACCAGCTACATCGCCAATCTTTCCCCTAACGAACGCCTTCATGTGGCCGTCCGTCCCTCCCACGTCGCCTTCCACCTCCCCCAGACTCCAGAGTCAACGCCCATCATCTGCATCGCCGCTGGCTCCGGGATAGCTCCCTTCCGAGGCTTCATCCAAGAGCGCGCCGTGCAACTCGCAGCCGGCCGGGCCCTGGCCCCAGCACTGCTTTTCTATGGCTGCCGCGGCAGAGCAGACAATTTCTACCGCGAGGAATTCGACCAATGGGAAAAGGAAGGCGCAGTCACCGTCAAGAGGGCATACTCCAGGGAAACGGCCAGCGAGGAGGTAGTCGGGTGCAAGTACGTGCAAGATCGACTGGCCAAGGAAAAGGACGAGCTATCAGAGCTCTGGAACAAGGGAGCAAAACTGTTCGTCTGTGGTGGTCGAAGGGTTGGGACCGCGGTCGAGAAGGCATGCATTGAGTTGATCAAAGACTCGGTGGTTGGGGACGACCCAAAGAGGTTTTTGGAGGAATCCGCAACGAGCGCTTTGTCATGGACCTTTTTGATTAAGACAATTGTTGGAGGGTCGCAATATAATTATGGATATGAAACCTGTCAGATTCTGCATAATCTGGTAGTATGATTACAATAGGAGTCAGAGTGGCAGAGTAGTCCCCTCCGACGGTTGCGCCTCCCTTCACTCAAACAACCTGCGCTCTGGAAGTTCATTCAAGACGCACTCGGGCAAGAATGGTATCAGAACGTCCTTTTTGCCGAGATCGACCCCCTTGGACCGCAGAATCGCGTAGGTGATGTAGACATGGAAGAGAGTTTCAGGCATCCCAGTCGCCATTGTGAACTCAGCGGCAGGGACTTAGAGAAAAGCGTGAGCGCCATTCTCCTCGGGGCCGACCTGCATGGGTAGCTTGGTGTCGTCAGCCTTACTCTCAGCCTCTTCGGGTCCAACTTGCGCCAGGATCTCCAGTGTCTTCTTCACACGCGTAATCAGCTCTGGCCAGGTTTCTCCAGCTGACCCCAGTTGGCCCCGGCCTCGTTCCACGGGACCAGCTGCTTACCCGTCAAGGCCTCTGCCAGCCGGACAGGATGCCTGGTAGCGATTCGGACCTGAAGTAGTAGCGGGTACATATCGGGGGCAAGCCGTGATTCCAAAAAGGTGGCCACGTCTGGGTGCTCCGATGCCACCTTGAGAATGCGAAGGGAACCCGGAGAGCTTTGGTATAGCAGCCGATGCTGATATCGTAGAATGGAACGGGAGCCATTGCGGATGATGTGAAAAAGGTAAATTTTTGGGAGGGGTTTGCAGCGCAGAGAGAGAGTAGCCCAGGATGAGGGTATTTGCGATCTACGAGCTGCCCTCGGTTGTCAATACCGAGTCTAGATCTACTTGTACCTCAACCCGGATCAAGTTTCGCCAACTTGCCTCGGACTATTGGCAAATGACGAGCCGACAAATTAGGGTCCGGCCAGATATAGTACGGTAGATCGCGGGGAGAAATGCTGGGCGAGATGTCGTGGGCCCTGGAAGTAATGAAGTAAATCTCCCGAGCCGGCCGTGTGCAGATCATCTTTGGGGCAGGAGAATGTCCTTGCTTAATTGAATCCTGCGAGATGCAAGATGCAAGCTAACCAAGTAGACTCCTGCTGGCCAGCACTAAGTTAGTTAGGGCTGATGTGTTACTGATATTGTATGCATAACATCGCCAAGGCATCGCGAAGAAGGACGGCAGAAGATAAATGTTATTCACGACCTAACATTTCATCGTCCGTCATAACCGGCTAATGACCAGTCCATGGATCATAAGCCTCTTGGTCTTCCCCTTCTGTCACTGCACCAGCACGCCTCCACTTGAATGCAGGCTGGTGCCCGTAATATTCGAATCCTTGAGCAAATAGACAAACGCCTCAGCCACCTCCTCCGGCGTCCCGACCTTGCCTAGCAGGGCCGTCGAAGCAAAGAACTCCCTCGTCGCCCTCCGCTGCTCCGGTGTGGGCCCCCAGATCTCTGTCTCCGTCGCGCCGGGATGCACGACGTTGACCCGGAGAGGAGCCAGGTCTAGCGCCAGCGCGCGAGTCAACCAGTCCAGCCCGGCCGCTGATGGGCTTCTCACCGAGCCTGCCCCCGCAGAAAACGAGGCTCGAGGTGTAACTCGGCTTGAGAAAACGCGGGGCAAGTTTGGCGAGCAATGCAGGGACGACAAGGGTCAGCTGGGCCTGGCCGAGCATATACTCCCGGTCGGTCCTTGCAATGGGCAGCATTGCAGCTCGACCCGCCGTGACGACGATGTGGTCGAGCCGGGAGTCGGCCGTGGTCTCGGCGAGGAGTCTCTCGAGGCGGTGCTCGACGTCGGGCAGGGAAAGATCGATGGTGAATCCCCGGATGTGCGTGTCGGGGGTTGACGCCTGCGCTTTTATTTTCGCGACGGCGTTGGCCACCCGGGTAGGGTTGGACGACGCGATGGACACGCGGACGCCTTGCTCGGCAGCTAATCTGGCGACAGCGGCACCGATACCGGACGAGCCGCCAATAACAAGGAGTGACTGACCAGAAATCGGAGGCATCGTAACGCGGTATGACAGTGGTGTCGGACTGGGTTGAGGTTCTCGGGGATGTGCCGTCTCAGACCATATATACAACGAAAATGTTCTATTTCTGACACAAAACATGCTCGGCCTTCGGCTTGTTTTGTCATCATCTGACACATTGCCCCGAGTCACGCAGTACGAGCAGATGTTGGTTAATGACACGCATCCGCCGGGGAGATGATCGATCACATCTTGGAAGATATACCTACCTACTGGCATCGCTGATCTTCTCCAAACTGCTTGTTCGCCGCAAAGACCATGATCTGAGTGCGTAGGCTGAGAATTAAAGAAATATTGTTTTGTAGTAAGAGCTCACAAAACACCATTGGAGATGGACTGGTACAGCACTACACGAAAAATCCTGACTGTCATGATAAAGCATGGGCTGTAGGACTGTATTATTCTTCTATGACCTATCCGAGTAATGGAAAGAAAACGACAAGGAATGCCTATGAGTGTCACCCCAGATCAATCTCCAATTTAGTATCGCCTACTCCAATCGCATTTTCTTCAGTTCGGCTGGTGGAATCTCCCTTCCTAGGCGCCATTCTTCTCGTCTTTCTGCTCAGTCTTCGCCGGGGCGCCAGCAGGATTAGGGAGCTTCTTGAAGGGAATCGCAAGCGACAGGAGAACAGTGAATGCTGCGCCGGCAAGCGAGAAAGCGAAGACGTCCTTAATACCCGCCATGTAAGCCTCGTGTACAGCAGCTAGGTCAGCGCCCTGGAAGACACGGGAAACTTCAGATGCGCCAGTGGTCAAGGCCTGGACTGGATCGATATTGGGAGCATTGCTGGCAAGTTCCTTGAGCATATGGTTGGCGAAGATGGACTGTGCTGCGGTGACAAAGTAAGCACCACTAATGGAGTTGCACACTGGTCACAAAGCGTCAGGAACTTGCACTTCACGTATATTGAAGAGGAGAGGACGCTGGGGAACTTACTGAGCATGACACCAGTGGTCGGCGCGATATGTTCAGGCTTGGAAAAGCTTTGCAGCGCAGTCATTGGGACCTGGTTCCCGAGGCCAATGCCGATGCCGAAAATGACCTGAGGGACAATATAACGGGCCTTCGAAGAGTCGACGTCGAGAGTATAGAGCAGGGCAGCGCCCACGGTGGCCAGTAGTCCGCTGGCGAATTCATACGGTTGGAGGAGGCGTGTCTTTCCAATGAGGAAACCGCTGAGCATGGACCCTGCAGCGAAGAAAGCCATGAAGGGAAGACTGTTAACGCCACTCGCGATGGCCGACTGGCCGTGGATGGATTGGAAGTAGATGGGCAGGTAGAAAAGCACCTGGAAGTTGGCGAGATTGGCACTGGACGAAATCGGAGGGTTAGCCCGCAAACGAACCGCGAATTTGCTGCGGGGGATTTTCTACTCACATCCAGCCATACAAGGCATTGGTCCACACTAGACGCAGCCTCAGCAGGGCCAGGGGCACCATGGCGTACTCGCCCTGAATCCACTCGACCACGAAAAAGGCAGTAGTCAGGACAACCCACACGACCAATGTGGCGATGACAGAGCCGTCACTCCACGGCTTGGTCTGGCCACCCCATTGCAGGGCCAAGATGAAGCAAATGAGCGAGCAGAGGAGCAAGGTGAAGCCCGGGAGATCGAGCTGGCGCAGGATTTCGACCCATGTGGCGGGGGCGGGCTTGATGTGCTTTGGCACCTTGAAGAAGAGCACGACCAGCGCAATGACGGGACCGCCCACCGGCAGGTTGATCCAAAAACACCATCGCCAGGTGACCTCGCTGGTGAACGCGCCACCAAGCAGGGGCCCGATGATGGTGGAGAACATGAAGACCGACATCCACATTCCGATCAACATGGGCCGCTTCTTGGGCTCTGCGACGTAGCTGATCATGAGCACAGAGCCACCCAGCGTCCCGGAGCACCCCCAGCCCTGCAGCGCTCGACCGACGATCAAGGCCGCGCTGTTTGGCGCGGCTGCGGCCAAGATGCTGCCAACGAGGAAGATGACCACCGAAGTGAGATAGACGAGCTGGGCCGAAAAGTATTTGTAGAGCTTTCCCCACATAGGCGAGGAGCTGCCGACTAGGAGGAAGCAGGCGCTTCCATACCAACCAGGCGGTGGAAGTCGTCCGTGATGCCCGGGATTGCCGTGGCGACGATGCCCTAAAGTCACACACACACAGACACATCCGTTATTCTGCCACTTCGCATGGGCCAAGCATAGGGTGGGGGTCAATAGTACTCACAATATCCAACGCCGCCAGCAGGGTGCTGAGAAAGATCGTGCCCATGATGGCGGCCAGCCGAAAGCCTTCGGCGTACTCCGGCTCGGGGGCCGCACCACCATCCTGCTTCTCCTGAACAGCCGTATCTGGCGTGGAATAGCCGCCGTCTTCCTCCTTGGTCGCCATTGTGGAAGCGTGTTCTGGACCGACTGCTGAGAGGGGATGAATTGCTGGACGCGCTGGACGGGGTACGAGGGGATTGACGCTGTATTCTGGCCAACTTTGTTTATACTCCAGCTGCTCCGGGCTGTTTAGTCAGAGGGAGCTCGCCCATTGGGCCATCTGTTCCGCCATGACCATGATCCTGACAGGGATGCCCTCTAGCCAGTCTGGGACCATGACAAATCGGCGCGAGCGGATTTAGCTGGCGATCTCAAGGTGTTGCTGACCAACCGCCCCGACCATCCGGGGCAATTAGTAATTAGCACCGTGTTAGGAAAGCCAAGTCAAGGTGGTTAGCAGTGGCCCAAGCGGCTGTCAGCGCTGGAGATGCAAGACACCCAAGGTGGTGAATCCTATCTGCCTGCCTGTTTAGAATTGTATTCGGCGCCACCTGCATGACGGAATCCGTCCCCTGTGCTGGCGTGCTTCAACGAGGACAGGGACAAAAGTGTTGAAACACGCCCACCTGGCGACCTGGCTAGTGCTTGATGTTTCGTGGACGGGAGCTACCTGCGTCGTCAGACTTTAGTAGTCACGAACTGCAGGAGAAGCTCCAAGCAGGCAGTGAACAGCTGCCATCTCATCTCGTCCGGCCGATAGCCCAATGACGGGATTATTTTAGCCGCAACAAGCACGGCTGTTTTTCGGAAAGCCCTTTTTGCCTTCCGGCCTGCTACTTTGGGCGGCTGCTGCCGACAAAGGAGCAGGATCCCAGACGCCACTTGGTCAAAGCAGAGGGCCGAGAAAGATACGAAGCCCGCTCGATCCTAAGGACGGCGTGGGAGATCCCTGGACGAGGAGGCGGCACTTTTGCGAGGGGGTCATTGGATAGCTTCAATAATTCCGGATACGATGTTGGAATAGTCATGGAGGTCTAACTATACAAGTTAACTGTATCCACTACACGTCTGACAGCGTCCCCAGAGTAGTCAACTGCTTCCCCAATATACCATGATAGGAGATCTGACTAGTAGCGCGTCTTGCGAATAAATTAATACCCCCAGGGTCTTGAGAAACAAGTGTCCACGAGTGGGCGAACGCCACCCGCATTTATCAGCAGCCCTGGCCGCCACCGTCTGATCCTCTGTACGACCGACTCTATTCACTCTCCTCTTTGATGCTACAGAGGCAAAACCCACACACGAACAATGCCCACCCTGGACACCAGTGAGCCCGAGGCGGACCGCACAGCGTCGCCCGTCGTCCGTCGCAGCGCCCTGGGCTGCACCAAACTGCGAGACAGCTGCCACTCCTGTGCCACCTCCAAGATGAAATGTCCGAAAGAAAAGCCCTCGTGCTCCAAGTGCGAAGCCCGAGGCATCGAGTGCCAGTACTTCTTTGCGAGGCGCCCGGGACGTCGACGCGAGGACGGCTCGGGGCACCCGACCAGCTGTACCAGCAGCAGCAACTCCTCCTCCTCGTCGAATCCAAAGTCCATTCTAGACAAGGACACTCGCAGCGCCCTCTCCCTATCTGGTGACACAATCGAGGTCGTGGGACTTTCTCACGGCACAGCCCCCTCCACCAGTTTACCTGCGAGCAACGGCTTCCTCGATACTCCTCAGACTGCGCTGACGACCGATAATGTTCTGGGCCAATATTCTTCAGACCTCTCTTCCGTGCTGGCGGACTCGACTATGTTTCATTCGCTTTCTGATTTTGACCCCGACCCCAACGGATTACTTTGAACATCCCGCCATCGACGGCGACGGTGTCTCCCGTAGATTGAACGATATCGGATCGCTTCTCATACCGGAGACCGTCAGTTTTGGCCTGGGCGCGTTGGACTCCAATGACCCTCTGAATGCATCATTCGCGGTGTCGTCTTGGGTACCCTCGCTTGCCTCGAACGTTCCAACGTCGTCCACTACAGACCCTACTATGATGATGATGCGCGCGCCCACCACCGACATATCCTGTGGCTGTGTGACCCAGGCTCTCGATCTGTTAAAAGCGCTGTCGTCGGCTCAGTCTTCCCCCGCCTCCCCGATTTCCGGCACGGGTCCGGCGCTCTCATCAAGCATGACCGCTATGGGCTCTGCGCAGGCTGTATTGGCAGAGAACAAGCAACACATTGAGACAGTAAGCAGCCTGCTCTCATGCGCTTCGTGCACCAAGGACGCCTTCCTGCTTGCAATCGTCTCCATGATCGTGCTCAAGATCCTGGAGCGATACGCCTCTGCGGCACGGACCCAGGTTTTGGGCTCAAGGGTAGGCAGCGTGGAGACTGACACGGGACCGAGGTCAGCAAACAGCATGATCTCAAGCAGCAAGGACCAGATAAAGGCGCTGAGCAGCCGTACATACACCATGGCCCGGGACGATAGCGCCAGTGGTTGCGCCCCCGCTCGGCTTGTCCTCAGTGAATTGCACCGGGTGCAAAGATTAGTGAATCTGCTGTCGCCAAAGCTAAAAGGAAGTAAGGCAGGCGATGCTCGAGGCATGGAGCACGCAATTTGGGGCTGTCTCCAGGTAGCAAATGAAAATGACAAAACGCAATCAGCATTCTTTTCTTCGAATACGTTGGCTCAGATGGAGAGCGACCTGCGGAAGAGCCTCAGTTCCTTGTCTGCGGATATTATCCACAGACTTCGACAGAATTAGAATGAATGATTGGAACTCCTGGCCCCCTTCATGAGGGGCGTTACGGCCGGACAGTACAATTTTCTGTTTCTTTTTTTCCCAAGGCATTCACAGGGCTATTTGTGCTTTGATGGAGCATTGTGAAGGTGAAGCTCAGTAGACGGTGTATATATCATTTTAATAAAGAACCCAGCCATCGAAATTAAGGGCGATCTGATCCACCAGAGTAGCAAACTGACTGCACCCAAGTGGACCTAAGCAATAGGTGTAATTACTAAGTGCCCCTGCATGAGTTATGCATGTCTACGTGACATGTATCCCTACTGAGCTCCCAAGAGCATTGAATGTCGATCCCCTCTTCTGGCACATTTCAACTCGAGCGCATCTGTCTGGGGCTGGCTTGCCCGGTGGAACTTGGGACCCCAGTCTCCTGACAAACATTCCCGAGTCCCGGTTGCTTTCGAATCGGGGCGTTTCGCTTATATGCGCCGCTGTGTGCCGTCCTCCAATTGTCCGATGGATGAGACGAGAGACGACTTACAACCCGGAGGGCCTACCGAGAAATATCCACTTATATGTCCCTCTTTCTTAAACGCAATGGGTGCTCATCAACCCTCAGTACCGTGCCAAGTGGCCTCGTTGTTTGTTCATAAATCGCGAAAATGACAGTCTTAAAAGGGTGGCAGGTAAAATTGTCACCCCAGTCCTGCCGGTACCATCGAGACGGCAAATGAGTTGCTGCAAAAAAACCCCGATAACTACCACATGTACTTTCGGGATGTCGGCGGCCATAACCACATCGCCCACTCGGTGTTGAGCGTCTTAGCCATGGGCGGCGGCCCCAGGGAGCTGACGCGGGCATACGACGACGGCTATGGATACCAGCGTTCCCTGCCTCCCCTGGACCTCTAAGTCGTCGAGGAGCTCAGTGATCCGGAGAGATTTCGGGCCCGAATGCTGAATCTGGATCAGTACACGAGTTTTCTGCACTTCTTCGAAAAAGAAATCGATGCCAAGGGCTGGCAGGCCGTCCTCTCTTGCAGAAGCCCTGTTCTCTCAGTTGTACGAAGGCCTCCTGCATCCCATCATCCACCTGGGTTTTGGCGTCGAGTTTGAACAGCCCAGCATCATCGCCGAGGGCCTCGCACATGCCGCCTCACACGACCCAGGCAACATCTACGCCTTCTTCCACCGCAGCGAACAGCTCGCACAGTCCGGCTCTGTGCCAGCCAGGCCACTCATCAAGTTGTATAAGCAGGTCCGCCACAACGAGAAGACCCGGACCGCGGGTCGCATGCAAGACGGGCCCTTCCGCCTCCGTGATGGTCCGCTGGCTCGCGCCATGGATGAGATCGTGGGCATTGCGGCCCAGTTCCAGATCCGGCCGGAGGAATTGGAGCGCGGCACGGCCGAGATGATCAACTGTGCGGCGTACAGCGCTGGTGCGGCGCAGAGACCTGGCAAGGTGCCCAAGATTGACTTCTTCATCATGCACAACATTACCTGCTCCATCTTCCTGAGCGTCCTGAGCAAGCAGTCGTGGATCCAGCTTAAGGGCAGGGTCCGATTGGTGGAGTGGAAGGCGAGGCTGGACCTGGCGTGGTACGCGGCAAACGGAGCAGCGGAATTGCGCCTGGAGGACATCTCTGAGTATGAACCAACGGCAAGCAAGGGCATGGACTGGCAAGCATTGTATAAGGCTGTCAACAAGGTCCATGATGACGGACATATCGCTAAGTTTGTGCGAGGTCTGAAGAACGGGGAGACCGTCTCAAAGCCCTTTGAGCAGGGGGACGGCGCCGCTTCTTTCCCCATCAAGGGCGACTTATGGCTTCGGATTGCCCAGATGGGCTACGACACTACCAAGGACGGCCATGATAATAGTGATAAGTGGGTCTGGGGCTCTGGATTCGACCTTGCGTGGATGAAGGTGCCGGACTCGAAGTAAATGCTAGTTGTTTGTAGTTTATCCGTCAAACAATTACAAAAATATCTTTTCGATTATAGCAAAAAGTATATCGACTACTCTACTCTGCCCACCTATCGTTCCCTACTCCCTCAACGCCACTTGCTTGTTCGTCGCCCAACGAGTAGCTCCACACGTTTGCAGGGCAACTTAGTCCATGGTGATGACAGCCCGAAAGCGAACCTTTCCACTGAGTATAGAATCTAGAAAAGCACACTATTAGCAGGACATCAATCAAAAAAACCTCTGAACCCGAAACCTACCGAATGCTTGCTGCGCCTGCGAGAGAGGAAACTTCTCGATGACACTCTTGATGTTATTGTTCTCGGCGAATCGAATAGCCTCCTCGGCGTCACCAGGATGGCCACTGGGCCAGAACTGGACTGAAAGGCCATACTTGAGCAAGTCTGTGGGATTTAAGGCAAGATTGCTAGGAAAGCTGAGAATGAGTAGCTTTCCCAGAATGCCTAAGCCTTTCAGCAAGGGAGTGATGGCTTCTCCAGTGGAGGCAGTGGTAATAGCCAGGGCAGCACCACCAACTGCTGCGAGCTGCTCGCCAGCGTCGCCTCTATTAGAGTCAATAAAGTCGTCAGCTCCGAGCTCACGCGCCGCCACCTCCTTGTCGGTACCGCGGGATATGGCGACGACACGGTATCCCATGTGCTTCGCATACTGAATGGCTAAATGGCCGAGGCCTCCCAAGCCCTGAACGGCAACTGTTTTGCTAGCCTTGATGTTTATGTTACAGATAGAGTTGAAGACAGTCAATCCAGCACAGAGAATGGGGGCATATGTTGTGGTATTAATATTGGATAGAATGTGGACAGCTGATTTAGTGTGAATAATACAGTACTCGGCATCTACAACAGAAACCATTAGAACGGAAAAAAAAGGAACGTAAGTTGCCGCGACTTACATCCACCTTCCTTTGTCGCGCCATTGACCACAGTACTGTCGCACATCTGGAACCAGCCTTTTGCAAGCCTTGCAAGTCCCGTCATGACCGCCGTGCCAACCCGCCCCAATACGGTCCCCAACGTTCCAATCACGGACGTCACTGCCAACCGCGGCGACCTTGCCAATGATCTCATGGCCTGGTGCAATGGGAAAGCCGCCGCCGAGGCCGTTGTATTGGGAGTACATGTCCGAGTAGCACACCCCACAAGCTTCGACCTTAATCAGCAGCTCTTTGGTCGCAGGTGGCTTCAGCGGCGCATCCTCCACTGTCAACGGATGACCCAGCTCTTTGAAGACTTCCCGTTTGTAGGTTTGTGGGAGAGACATGGTTGGCATGGCTAAGCAGAACCGCCTGTGGCAGTACAGCTTGGGGAGTGGCTAAGATATACTACCGGTGTCGGGTTAATTATTAATGTAGCCGGGCTTTATGGAACCAACAGGCACAAACTTTTGGAGTTGGAAATTCGTGTAAGGAGATATCCAATATATATGTATTCATTATGGCTGTTGCGATAAAAAAGACATTACGCCATGATGCCATTCTCAAGCGTGCCTCAGATTAAGTCTCTCAAACGAGACTTGCAGTACAGCCCTGCTTAGTCGATAAACAGAACGGTAGAAACGTTATATAGGAATATTGACTATGCTCTCACAGCTCATCGTTGGAATGACCAGCTTGAGCAGTCGAAGCCGCAAACACCTTTTCCGTAAAGCGCCATACGGTTTCATCCACGCCCCGTCTCCTCAGCCCGGCCAGCAGATGCTCGTTATCGGCGCTCTCGCCCTGCGGATCAACCAGGAAGATGCGCCCGCCCGACCTCTTCGCGACGGAGAGTCCTATGGGCACGGGCACGATGCCTCCCTGGACGGCATACCGGTCGTTAGTAGCTAAGAAGAGCGCGCGCTGACCAGCCTCATCCGCGCTCGTCGGATTCGGGGGCGACATGCCAAACTTGTTAGCCCGAGCCAGGCCCGGCGTCGCGACAGTCCCCGGGAACCAGTGCACAATGCTCAGGTGCGGGTTCGCCTGCGCAAATCCCTCCAGGGCGAGCATGCTTATGGTACCGGAGTGGATTGACGAATTCCAGAAGGACCAGTTCTTGGGATCGCGCAGATCCAAGTCGTTTTCGTTGAGGGGTCCCTCCAGCCCGCCGCCCAGCACCGAGACAACACGCGGACTCAGCGCGTTGTTGAGCAGGGGAAGCAGCTGCCGCACCAGGCGAAGTCGCGAGTAATACCACATCATCATGGATGGATCAAGGCCTTCGCGTGTGTCCTTGTGGCCCTCAAAGGCCATGAAGCCGGCCGACATGAAGAGGATGTCAACCTTGGTCTCATTCTCCTTTATTCCGGCGACGATCCTGTCGATCTCGGAGATCATGGAGACATCGGCCTCAATTAGGTTGTACGTGCCTGTCGGGTTGGACTGGCGCAGCGAGGACAGGAAGGTCTCGTGCGAAGCAACCGCGGATGGGCGAGCGACGGAGTAAATGCGTGGAGAAGAGGCATGCTGAGCGAAATGTTAAAGTGCACTTTGTCCGATGCCGGATGTAGCTCCCATAAAGAGTGCGACGAGGCTGGCGGGGAGGCTTCCAACGCCCACATTGGCATGCTGCACCGTTTGGAGAGAGACCATTTTGTTGAATATTATTTAGAGATGGACAGGAAAGTGTAAGCTCGAGCAGTCCCCGACTCTTTATGCTGTCTCTAGCTCCATCCACACATCTACTAGGCCCCTGTCAAATAGACGGGGCATATTGCGCGGTGTATTTCATAAGGATAACAAGGAACTTTCTTCCGACGCCCGGAATTGCGCCATTGAGATCATCCGGGTCGGGCCTTATGCTTCAAGGCTCTCCGTCTATATGGTCACACCGCACGTAGCCTCGCATGATTCTGTTGTCTCAGGACACAAGGTATTCAGCACTAAGGTTCAACATTTACAAGGGCTTCTATAATGGCGCCAGGTCAGGGAGGCTACCGCCAAATCAACAAGGCTCTCAACATATGTGCCTTTGAAGAATACCTGGAAAGCCAGCAGAAAACTCTGCCCACACTGCCTGATGTCGAGCAGATTAGCCCGCGAGTAATTCGCGTCCTTGGCCAAAACCCGGGCAAGGCATGTCTAAACCCCTGCTTGCTTAACCCCATAAACTAACGCATCTACCTGCAGTTCACTCTGCAGGGAACAAACACATTCATCGTCGGGACGGGCTCAGAACGCCTCCTCGTTGATACAGGCCAGGGCATTCCAGATTGGGCAGATCTCATCCATGACACACTCGCCCGCCAGGGAATCTCACTCTCCCATGTGCTTCTCACTCACTGGCATGGAGACCACACGGGTGGTGCACTGCATACTCCAGGCCACTCCAGCGACCACATGTGCTTCATTCTAGAGGAGGAACAGGCTATGTTTACAGGAGATAATATACTTGGACACGGCACATCAGCCGTGGAGCATCTCAGCACTTGGATGGACACATTATACAAGATGCAGTCCCAGGACTGCATCAAAGGCTATCCTGCTCATGGAATTGTTTAGCAACCTGCGGATTAAGATCAAGGGCGAGCTGGCTCAAAAGCTGCAGCGCGAACGACAGGACTTAAAGGCACTGGTTCAGGCCAAGCATTTCAAGATAGCCCATCAAGAACGAAGCAAGGGCAGCGTGACAGTCAAGCAGCTTGTCACCACCATGTATGGGAATGGGGTGGGGGCAGGGGTAAGGGAGTTGGCGCTGGAACCATTCATAGATGAGGTCCTACGGAAACTGGCCGAGGATGGCGCCGTCGCGTTTGAGATTCGGGGGGGGAGTGAAAAAGTGGTTTGCCCTTGAGACCGTCTGAGGCAAGCAATTAGACCGACCAACTGGTGGTCCGACAATTACCATATCTATCACAGGCTATGGCCTGGGTTGTGGTTATCAGCCATGCCCTCAAGAAGGACAACCAGGAAGGTTAGAGAAGCAGCTAGAAGCTTACAAACATGTAATTCAGGAGGAGAGGAGGCTGCCATCTTCATATCTCATTCATTTTCTTTCTTTTCAAGCTTGCGATGGCCAATTAGAAACAACACTGCCTACATCCGTCACATGTTGCTGTAGGCCACTGTAGTTTCAGACCCCAATCCCATACACTCCAAATTATTTATAGAGCTTCAGAAGAGTACCTAGAAATAAGGTCCTAAACACGCTACATAGTGTACTTGGATATTTTGAAATTAATATAGTAGCCATGTCTGCCTTATTTCTTGAGAGGTAGAGGGGCCCTGGACCTCAATATCTGGTTTATGATATGTATTAGTCGATTTTTACCTGAAAGAGTCACTTTGCCTTCTTCCTTTCGACTGCTTGATAATATTACCATTTTCAACATTGGGAATAAAATAAAAGTTAATTAATACTGTAATTAACTTTAGCTCTGGCATTGTTCCAGCAGCCAATGGCTGGATTAGCCAGCCAAGATGCTGACAGATCAGCCCGAGACAAAAGCAAAGAATCCTTCTTCGGACACAACACAGGGGCGAGCTCGGGGCAAAGTTGATTTCTAATCGATCCGTGTCGGTCGGACTCTACAGCACGCCGAGATCATGAAGTAATCCCCTGAAACCCACCACTGCACCGACCAGAGGGAACAGCGAGCGAGTCGCATGCAGCCAGGACCATCTCACCACGGGCTCCCGCACCGCACCCAGGTCTGCCGGCGGCTCAGATGCCGATACAGATGTCTCTTCCAACCGAAACAGGGTGTTGTTGGTCGGCGTCATGATGACCCAGGTAAAGGAATCCGGATGTACCCATGAGCCGAATGATCCGGCGCAGCTGGATTTCTGGAACCCCTGCCAAGTCAGCGAGATCTTGGATAGACATGCCCCCCTCGGCTGGGATACACGCCAGAATCTGGTATTCCGCCAGCCACTTAAGACAAGCCACGACCTCAGCCTAGAGTAACCAAGAATATCGGTCGTCAGACGAGGTGGAATGGAGAGGGGAGAGGGGGATGCACACCTGGCGAGCAAGATCCTGGAGTAACTCCACTGGCCCACCGAGCAGTGTTTTGATCTTGGCCATGCTGGCGTGGATGACTGTCTTGGCTTTGTTGAGTTCCTTGTTTGCCTCAGAGTTGGCCCGAAGCTGGTCAGATAATTCCACATCCCGCCGATGCTTGATATAGCTCTTAATCGCAGCGGCGAGTTGGTCGCTCTGGGCTTCGAGCTTTGTCAATTCGTCCATTGCGACGCTAGGGATTGGAGCACCGGGTGTCAAAAATTTACGCCTCCTCCACTTGGGTGAAAATAACCTCGAGAGCTAGGGCCTCGCGCATTTATCGCGTCTATTTGCACATCTCCTGTGGCATGGTATCTAAGCGTAGCCAGCAGGCAGAGACACCAAGATATAGGCTGACGCTACCCGGCAAGATGAGTCATACTGGTACAAAGATACCAGATAATCCCTGTATGTCGCGATTGTCGCCATGTCGTATCGCTTGCAAGCTTGGTACTAGGCTGACCTATGGGACAGGACTCAGGACCCTGCCTGAGGTCTTGTCCCGTCCCATGATTCCTATGGGAAACCCTTTTTGATTCCCATCCTGTGCCAAGAGATAAGGGAAGGGATTCCCATGACATGGGATTCGGGATGGGATATTCCCATTCCTAGTTTTCCCTAAAAGACACCCTGTTTCCCATCCCATTTCCTATATGGGAATTTCCCTTGGGAATCAGGAAAGGGAATTTCCCTTTCCTGCTTATTTCTGAAAAGGAAATTCCCTTCACAGACATACAGGGTAGAGGGAAATTCTAACTCCTAAGGTAACATAGAAAGAAATTTCCCTTCCTGTTTTGGGCAATAGGGGAATTCCTAATGGGAAATGGGATGGGAATTTCCCATGTGGGATGGGATTTTCCTGATAGGATGTCATAGTATTTTTCCTTAGTATCCTAGAGTATATGTATGACTAGTGAAATCTTATAGAATCATACAAGATCATTATAAGAATTATTATTATACCATAGCAGACTGAATAGTTACTAATAACAAGATGAAGATCAGAAGATATATAAACAATTATTATAAACTAGGCAGCCCTCAGTGACGATATTTGAAATATTGAGTTCTTGCTGCTGGTGGCAGGTTATCATTATCTGGTCAATGACAGTGCGAGTGCTTTCTCCTCAGTTACTGCCTGACGAATAACAGCATTTTCATGCTTATGTATGACCTCCTCATCTTCCCATTCCACAGACAGATACTCGGCATTACAGAGATCTTGGTCACTTAGCGCAGGATTGGAATCCTTGAGGATCATGATCTTTCGGATAGTGTCGCCCTGAAGTTTACCACGTCCGAGATGCGCTCTGGTTCAACTGAGTTTAATGCCTCTAGCAAGCAGTGCGCATTTTGGAATCCCCCTTCAGTCCAGCACTTTTCAATAATTGTCCCCAGCCAGAGTCCATCCGTCCTGGGTAGCGAAGTTCGTTGTGGCCACGTAGCACGACCATCATCAGCAAGATCATCCTGGAAAAGGTCGAATTGACATCTTTGGCTTGTTATAACCTCATACATCACTGCGCCAAGCTGACCGATATCTGTCTGTATCGAGAACCCATCATCATCTGCGGTTTCCATAACTGTTCCTAATGGTAGGATAGAAGCTTCGCTGAAATCACAAATTTTAACAGATAGATCATCACCCAGGAGACAATTGCGCGTAGCAATATCTGCTACAAGAACACATTTGTCGTGGACTTGCACAAGGGCTCGAGCCATCTGCCGAAAGCATAAAATCTGGAGTGTACGCGGTGGGTTGTGCTTCTCTAAATAAACACGTAAATCTCCATTTCTCATAGAGGCAAGATGAGTAGCGTTAGGATAAAGTCCCATGCACGGGACAATGCCATTAATTTCATCTGCTTTGAATAAACTAAAACGGCGAAAGACTTCTTGTTCATGCCGGATAATCTCCAGGTTTGATTGTATGTCAGCGTTGCTGCTCCAGGGATGTCTTAATGGAGTTTTGATGGCCAGGCCATCGGAATAAACCACGACCCCTGACCTTCCATATCCTAGGACCACATTATCGGGAATCGGTTCGCCGTTGAGATCTATGAATAATGAAGAGGCCATTGTGGGACAGATAAAATCAAAGGGAAGAGCAGTAGTATTTTACAAATTGAGAGAAAGACGGTTGCTACTTGCTAGACCTGCGTCAGAGTGTTGGTCCTGGGACTCCTTACAGGATATGCCCGCCTTCTTGTCCAATCACCTACTCTGAAAGAGACCTAAGTTACCCCCTGTCGATTTAGTCTGGTATCTACCTTGTAGCTGTGGAATAAAATGCATACCACTTTGCAGCCGCCAAGGCAGACTTTATGGGAGGGGAAAGCATTAGTTCACACCAGAATGGGCGAGAGATCCAGGGGTTGTTATGGTTAAAGGATGGCTGCCAATGCACTCTGTAGTATGCTTCGCCCTCAGTGTTTCAGCTCACGCAGTGTCCTGAGCAGGAGTGCTGTGCTATAATTTTCTATTCAGGCAACATAAATTTGCGAGGGAATCATCATCATTCTCTATATGGTTAAGATAGTATTATTCTTCACCTTTACCTTCTCGACTGCATAATGGCACATTTGTCCCTTGAACAGGCCCAGGCGATTGTGGATGACATCTGGGTGACAAACAGCGGCTTCTCTCCCGAGGTTTAGAAAGTGCTGCCCGAAGAGGCCTTGAGGGGATTCAGGAATCTGCAGTCTATAGCTGGCGGATTGATTGTGCACACAGTAGAAGACCTATATGACACAGACACTTGGTTCATCTTTAAGCTTGCCCAAAACACAGAAGATAATCATTATTAGTGTGCTGCTATTCATGGGGAAGAGCTATTTATTCATTTCACTATACATGCAGATTGTCTAACTGTGGATTTAAATAAGGATAGTTTCACTAAGAATAGATGTGCAGGCCTATGCAGCATTCACTAGAGTATAAAGAAACAAAGGTGGCTATATTAGCCATAAAGGCATTAACTTTCAATCTGTGTTCAGGGTTGCATCTATCCAGCCAGGGCCGTTCTGCTTCTACTTTAAGCACCACTAGGGGGAGAATGGGCTAGGCATAATCACTCCGTTTAACATAGTGGGCTGATATTATCTATATGTGGAAGAGTATCAATAGATTTTATTGCATCTTAGCTCGAGATCATCTGCATGCAAGGGAAACAGTCGCTTAGAAACCAGAGTATGTCGACAGCCAGGGATCCACTTCATGGTTCCTCACAACGATCCAACCTCTCCTCTCGCTCTCGCCTCCACCTCTCCCCCATTTTCCACTCCACCCAAACGAGGGATTGGAAAAGAAGCACTACGCCAGTCACAATGAAGAAAGCTCTCATCACCCTTACGGCACCAATCAGTGGCTGGATGACACTGACACCCGCCGCGCCCAGTAGACAGCGGCACAAGTTGTTGAGCGCAGTCGCACTGGCAGGGCGCTCAGGGAAGCAGTCGATCAGCAACGTCGAGTTGATGTTGAAGGTTGCCATTGCCGAGAAGGCGATCAGGAACTGGAGGATGAGCGGCGCGGCTAGGTTCGGACCAAACTGCCGCCGCAGGTCGTTGAACTCGAAGCTTGGCCCGTACAGCGCGAGCGAGATGATGAGTGCGATGCTGAACAGGGGCATGTAATGTAGACGGGCCCGCACGAGAGGAAAGTCGCGTCTGTTGGCAATTCTTTCGTCGGAGGGAATGCTGTGCGCCAGTCTGTACTGCTCCTGGGCGCGTCTGAAGCTTTGGTCTAGGAGCCAGCCGGAGCTGAGCGAGCCGCAGATGCAGCCAACGCCATTGGGGAGGAAGCATAGGCCAATCTGCCACTCTGTAAGATAGGGGAAGCCGTGCAGCAGCATTGTTGTAGTTGAGGATGTCACCATGCTCCATGCGGTGTAGGCCACTGCGCCCCAGGCCAGAAGGGCTGCGATATCCTTTTCAAAGATGTAGGCTAAAGGGCTGGAGGCTCTCTTCTTCGATATCGGCGGACGAGGCTTCGGTGGGGCACTCATGTCAGGGTTTGCCTTGGACGCCATTGGTGCTTTGAGTCTATAGATAAAGGGTCTGTTAAAACCCGACAGAGGGATGCTGCCGTTGCCCGCTATGCCGCGATGAGTCTCCGGCAGAAAGATAAGGAGGGCGCCGAGGATGATCACACTCAAGGCAAACAGCATCCAGAAAATGCTTCTGAACCCCCACACACTGTTCAGAGCACCTCCAATGACAGGTCCGAATGCCTGGCCCGTCATCCTATTGGGATCAGTGACGTGAACTACTTCTTCAGGCCAATGTGCTATCTGCTTCACCTACCGCATACCAGCGTTCGCCCCCATGAAGCCACCACGTTCTTTTGAACATGTAATGTCAGCAATGACACCAGTGCTGATGCTAATCGTAGCTGCAGATCCGGCGGCCTGCAGGCCTCGCAGGACCATCAGCATTGGATAGCTGGAGGTAAAAGCGAGAGCCAGGTTGGCAGCTGTGTAGATAGTGAGGCATATTGTGAACGTGAGACGGCGGCCGCAGGTGTCTGAGAGCGTGCTGAAGATGGAGGGAGCAATCCCCTGAACAACCATGTAGATGGTGATTGTCAGCGCAACCAGGGACGCATTCACACCCAGATCAGAGGATATGGTGTCGATAGCGGGAAAATAAATGTTCGATGAGAGGGGCGATAAGGAGCCCGCCAAGGAGACAAAGATGACAATATTCCATTTCTGCTTCTTGGAGAGAAGGCGAAACGGCGGCTCCTGCTCTTGAGAGGCAGGTGGCTCAATGGACGTCTTTGGAGATTTATCCTCAGTCATGGCGGTCAACCTGTGCTTGTTTGAATGACGGAGTGGTTGAGAACACAATCTGTTGAATTGAGGGCTTCTGGTGATACCTTATATTTTACTGCTTACCATGTTGGATGATTCGGCACCATCCTCCCTTCATCCGATATGATCGACTGACAATTCAGTGATCTACCCTCGGAAATATTGATCTGCAAACTGATCTACGATATGATGATTTGGATGCTGAAACACTAGGGATGAATAACCTTGATTTTGCCTTATCTAGGAGAATTTCTTAACCTCCAGGTGCCGAGAATGGTTCCATGTGCCCAAGGCTCTAGGCTGGTTGGTCACCGTTGGAGTTTCATGCCGAACCAGACTGCAGAAATCTGAAGTTCTGAACCAATAATGGGACTTCCGTAGGCTAGTAACCCGACCCGCACGGAACTGGCTGTGGCGTTCTACCTACGGTAGGGAACCGCATTGGTTTCGGTTTCCCTACCCCAAAATCTCGGTGGATTCGGTGGGAACCGGACCCCATCTCGGGTCGGGATGGGAGTCTGGCCCAGTCCTGGAACGTCTAAGATGGATGGCAACTTGATTTCCCTGTTGGAGTCTTGGAGATTAAGGTTTAGAACCTTGTTGCTGAAAAGTTAGGAAAGTAGATTTAAGTAGCAGCCAACTGCTAAACTAATAACAGGAAGAAATAGTAGACGGTAGACTATCAAGTACAGTATTTCAAAGTTATAGAAGACTCCACTAGAGAGAAGTTATAGTAGTCTCTACTGCTAGAAGAACCCATCTAATTCTTATAGTATGATGGCTTTTATGTTTTTCAACACCTCAGCTAGTAAACTAGTAGGTAAGGGTCTAGGGATCTTCCTGTGCAGAAACTGCAGATCATGAATGCAGAAAGGTAGGGATACTCTTAGATTTGGGGTTTAAATGCATGTTATGCCTGAAGAGTAAGCACTACAAAGTGCATCCTGGTTAGGCTGGTTTCAAATTGCTATCTCCAATATTAGTCCTGTTTGAAGCCAAGCAGTGATCTGCAAATGACATCTTCCTTGAGGCCACTGACTCTGAGCCCAGTCTACCACACAATGCTGTTACATTCTGCACGTTCAAGCAGGGGTGACATTTACTTCTTACAGTAACCAGTTAGCTTGATATGGCCCATGCTACAACTAATCATAGGATATCTCTTTAGACATTTCTCTTCACAGACTACCCTGCACAAGGCATGTTCTCCTGTAAGTGAGCCTTGATGATCATAGTTGGAATATCCTAGGAAATACTGCTCAAGATCTCTGTATCGTCACATCGGATTGCTTCATTCCTATGCCTGTTGCATAGATAGGCTGCCAGCTGCCTATGTCTGAGTCTAGGCCCTGGCTTCCACTTGCTTGAGTATTAATCTCATGCTATTTCTGTCTTGTAAAATCATAGCATAATGCAAGAGATATTATTGTTGCCTAATTAACTGCAAGGGGGTCTGTTTTATAATCATAAATTACCTGTAATGATGCACAGCACATCACGCTGTCACATTCATGCAGATCTAATGGTTAGCATGCCTGTAAATCTATCTAACAAACAGGGTGATGTATGATGTAGCTCAGGGCAGCACACTTCAGAGTCCTTAGTGGCTAGGCCTCAGTGCAATCTGCTAAAATGCCCCCTTTATTAAGCTAACTTGTCAATACCTCTCAGATGGGTGGGTCATGAATTGCAACCATGATCATTACGATGTGAGTCATTGTAATCGCCATCTCCCCATTCCATCAAGACAGCAGACTCTATCTCCCTCCAAGGTCGAGCCGTATCTGTTTAGTATTTCGTAATGTACTACACCGCTCTAAAGTGTTGTGATCTATCAAATAAGATTCGAGCATCCACTAACCTTCGACCCCTTACGCGTTCTGTCCCCCTTCAATCATCTACTGGATCAAAAAACTGAAATATGTATGCCCTGCCTGGATCGTTCCCTTGAAGTCCTGGACTTGGAATGAGGAACGATATCCATAATTGAACTAGTGCAGAATCTGGAAGTGCCTGAGAAGGTCAATCGGAAGTCAATCGGAATTCGATGAGAGCACATTTTCAGCCATCAGCACTGCTAATAATGTACTCCATGATTAGGGTGTGTGGCTGCCATTTTACTTTCTAGAATCTACTAAGTGCTTGTGGGAAGGAGAGAGAGAATCTAATCATAATATTCGATGATGATACTATCTAACAGAACTATCTAAGATAGATGAGGTGAGAGGTGTTCAGTATAATAAGTACGGCCATGCGAAACCTCAAAAGAAGCATAGGTGAAAAACTGAGTAAGTAGCCTTTATACCCCTCTTCTTCAGTATACTTCACTAATTCCCTAGATTGGAAATAGTCCAAGGTGCGCCGCTCATCGGACGTCTCGTGCGGGAGGAGCCGGAACTGATACCCTATTAGTCCGCCACTGCCGGCGTTTGTGCATTTCAGGCAGGAGTCGGGCGTTTCGTCGCCATCTACGTGGCGGACGGTGAGCATGCTGGTATTGGCAGGCTCCTTGATGGGATGAACCGGCATGTGCAGTAGCTTGATTTGGACTTGGAGAGTTGCATACGGCGTTTCTGGGTGCACCACTATTCGGATTTACTAGATGACTCGGATTATCTGCAACGACCGCGATTGCCGGTTGATGAAAGCGTTCTGTTATACTACTAAAAGTCTAGATAGTAATACAACCAACAACTAATACAGTCCCAACTCCACCTTCTGGCCCTTAACCGTTTCCTTGCAGGACATCTCCCCCTTCGCCCCAACCTTCCCAGACCCGCCAAATTTGTTGACCAAATCGGTGATGATATCAACGATGTCCTGAGCGCCGATGTGGAAGTCGACGTTCCCGTTCTTCCCCTTACCCTGGACCCCGAAGGCGCACGAGCCGAACTGCACGAGCTGGTGCTGGTTGCCGATTGCGTTCTCGACCTCCCAGTCGCCATCCGTGTTCTGGATGTTCTTCACGATCTGCATGCAGTCGGACACAGTCAGGGAGGCATCACTGGTCTGGTCGACGAACATCAAGGTGCCACAATGGTCAGGCGCGGGATAGATCACACCCGGGTAGTTTGGGGCGTCAGTATCCGGACTGTCGCCATGGTTCCATGCACAGTAGGCAATCTTGGCGCTACATACTGGCAAGCGGATGAAGCCTGGCGTGGTGATGTCGTCATTATAGAGGTCCTCAAGGGTCGCCTCATCCTCAGGGTCGGCGGCGGCGCCGCCATTCATCTCACCATTCTGCAGGTACGTACAGACCAATCCAATGATGACCTCCTCCACAGTGACATTGCCAAACAACCCTTAACATATTGAGTCCACACCTGGTAGTGCAGAGAATGCGTTATCGAGGCAACCGCCCTCAAAGCAGGTGTAGGGGTCCCTATCCAGCGTGGCAAGATAGTAGCGCTTGTTGTGGTAGCAGGCCTTTATCAGGAGCATTGTGTCCTTGTCCAGATAATCGCCTATGTCATCCTCATGGTCACAAGAGTAGCCTGTGTTAATAATGAATGGGTACCTGCCGGAAACGGACCAGAGGAAGGAATGGCGAAGGCAAAAAACGCTTTGCCTATGTTTGCCTGTAGAGCACTTCCGGTGTCCTTCGGTTCGTCCGGATTTGTCGGGGGTAGTCCGATGGACTGCCCGGAGCCTTCAACAAACTTGCCGTCAGAGATGAGCTCCGTCAGCAGTTTAATTGACTCATCAGTGCCGCGGAATAGATCGTCCAGTGATTTCTCTGTAATCTTGCCCCAGGCAGCAATCAATTGGCCCATGTAGTTGGCGATCTTATCCTGCTTTCCTGGGGTCCAGCCATCACTGTCATCCACCAGTCAGCAAAATTATTATAAAAGCTAGGAACAGCACCTATGGGCCAGGGTAATTGAGCACGTCCTTAGCAATGGTTATACTTTGTGAGATGAGGGTCATGGTAGTATCTTTGGCGTTGTCCAATAGAGAACCACCCTTAAGCATGAAATAGGGCGTCTTCAACAGGACTTTTTCGGGAATTTGCAAGGGTTGGTATCTCCTGTACTAGCTAGACTCGGATTTCGTCTGCCTGCCTGAAAATGCCTAAATTGAAGAATGGGGCAGCTATTGCAGATGTGCCAAGGGTGACAAGATCAATCAGGATTAAAAGCCATTTATTGTCGTCGGGTTCAGGTATCGGCGCGAACTTGTTCTCGAAATCATCCAGGGCGTTGGTGATTTCCGAGGCGGCGGCCTTGAACAAGGCATTATGATAGCTTTCGTACGGCTAGACTATTGTCAGAGTCTGTCAATCGCTTGAACAGATATCCACACCTCATGAATAATGACCAAGGAATTCCAAATCATCCAACCTGCTGCGCCTGAACTGTTTGTGTTGAACTCCTTATACTGCTTAGTCTTACCATAGTTGCTTGTGGACAGTTAGATGTATGCATTACTACAACCTTCTGAATGAGTATGACTGGTGTTATAATTTCTACTTGCGGCCGCCATACATGATGGATGAGGAGGTGCAGCAAATCCCAGGGTTTTGGAGGAAGGGCTGAACCATCTATTTAGAGAATATCTCGCCTGGTTTAATATAAGCTATATCTTTCTGGCGGTGCAGCCTGACCAATGTGTCATGTACAGTATTTCCACTACTCGGTCGACCTGAGGGTCCTCTGGCGCAACGGCCTGGGTGCCATTGCTGGTCATGACCTCGTCATCTTGCTATGACGGCTGCGAATCTATTGCCATCCGGTGACCCCATCGGCCGCTTATCCGCTTGCTCATTCCTTTTGATACTGTTATATGAAAATATCCACGTTTGTTTGCCTTTGCGTGCTTTGTTAAGGCCACTAAGGTGGTCTTTAGGACATACTGCCCTGATTGTCTTCCAGGGTTTTGTATTACTCAGAGTGCTGCTTGGTTGTTAGTGAACATTACTGCATGTTGGATCTGACGGCGCAGTATGATTATTGTGGCCAAAAGGATCCCTTGTAATTTGGCGGTGGAGACCATGGCCTCTGACAGCTCCCCTATGTATGTTGACTGTATCTCCTGGTGCTGTAAGCAGACTGTGATTCTCCTACACTGCCATTAACCCTGCTACTGTCCGTGTGTACTGCTGTTACAGACTGGCTGTGGCCTGTTTGCTTTGTACTGCTTGATTGCTGTTTCTACATGCTTGTTGGGCTATTTATCTAGGTTTCTTAATTGATGGTGTGAACTCTTAGGAAGTGGATGCTGGAGCATCATGCTTTACAAACGTGTGTGAAAGTTGGCAGACCAAGGGCGGATGATATGTGTGTTGAAATTTAGGAGGCTCATAACCTAGATATTGCAAGGACCACCTGAGGGGGGTGATGTGAATACGTATATCCGGATGAGAAAGGTCTCTCTCAGAGTGTCTTACCGGCCTGGGGGGAACATTCCATAGTCCTAGTTATGCAAAGGGCCTATCTGCTCTTTTAAGGTAGGACTTTCATAAAACGGTACCGCACTACTTCTAGTTGACACATCTCTACTATTTAATATATATTCCTCTCTCCAAGGTATGATGGCCATTACAGGCAAATCAATCAATATCCTACAACATTAGATGAATGTATGGCTATTCTAGCCAATTAGGGCCATTTCAATGATCCTCGGCTAGGAATCAGGCTAACCTAGGCAGCAATAGCGCGGAGATATAAATGCAGCCTACCCCAACCAGCACCTTTATACACCAGATATAATCACCCCACAGCACATGGTGCAGGATGCAGGTTCTCAATCAACTGCCCCTAGATTGTCTGCTCCTCCTCGCAGACTATCTACCCCTGGGGCGAGATATAAGCGCCCTCGCACGCACAAACCGCCGATTATACTACGCACTCAACCCCTATCTCTACCGGCACAACATCCGACACCACGGAAAAGTTGCCGTGCTCTGGTGGGCAATCCTGCGGGCAGAAGTAAATACAGCGCGCCATTCAATTCGCGCGGGGGCCGATCTCCACATAAAAGATGAAATCTATTATGACACCGGAACGGCACTGCACAGGGCTGTGCGAGCCCGGTATGAATGGAGATCGCGGTGCGAGCTCAACCCAAAGATCGCGCGCCGGCAGGGCGCGAAACAGGTCAAAGACTATGATGCGATGATCTCAATGCTGATTCAGGAGGGAGCGGATGTCAACGCGAGTAATTCTTTGGGTTTGACACCCCTCCATACCGCGGCGCGAGCTGGAGACAACCAACTGGTCAGCTTGCTCGTTGATGCAGGTGCGGATATTTCGGCCCGGGCGAAAAGTGGTGAGACGCCCTTGCATACGGCAGCAAGCTATGATGGGGAGGGACCGGGGGCAGTGGGTTTGGTTTTAGAGAAAGGAGGTGACGTTCATGCCCGGCGGAAGGACGGGCGAACGGCACTGCATGAAGCGGCCCGGGCAGGAGGATCAAATGCTGCTGTCTTGCTCATTGAAAACGGCGCAGATTTGGAAGCAAGAGACAAGGAAGGACGAACGCCCCTGTATTTTGCGGTGTGTAGCATGCGCAGTTCTTCTACAGAGCTGGAAGCAGTGGTGCAGCTTCTGATTGACAAGGGGGCCGACATCGAGGCAAGGGATTTGTCAGGATTGACCCCGCTACATGCGGTAGCTTTAGAGGGGAGGTATGAAGAGTTATTTCGACTGCTCGTCAAGAACGGCGCCAATGTGGAAGCGAAGGATAGCAACGGACATACGGCGGTGGAAATCGCGCGCAGAAATCACAGGGCTTACATGTTGAAGTGTATCACCCGACGATCAAGTCGACGCGCGGGGGGAACTTGAACCGGTTTCTGGAAACCCACTGCTTTTTACCATCATTCATGCAAAAAGCCATGTCACCGGGATAATTAACTAGTGCCTCAGTCCCGGATTGAACAAATAGTTCTCGTGGCCGGACTGTGCCCCGTCCTGCGTATGTTATCAGTCAATATATGGTGTCTGACCGAATTATCGTCCTCTGACAACCTATCATAAAGCATGATGCATTGATAGCCATTCAGCGGCCTTGGGCTGTCTATCATTTGCTATATCGCCAGCTGACACCTTCCTCAAGCAAACTGTTTCCTCTCTAACCCCTGGCTTCTTGTTAGGAACAGGCTGCGTTCAAACTCCCACATTCAGACCTCTGCACAGACCGAGGTGTTTATCATGTACCACCCATGGTCTTCTGGCGTGCCTTTCTGTCCAAGGTTTCCATCCGTACTGTTGATCCCATCGATACGGTGAATGTCGGCAGTCGTAACAGGCACCCCATTACCGCTTGTAATCCAGTACTCAGGAGTCAATTGGCTATATTCAAGGAGAAATGGAAAGTCCCATTTAAGTCTTGTAAGAAGACTTGGAACGATATCCCAGGCATGGGTGATGCGGTAGTTATCACCAGCCGTCTGTTCTGAGATGAACTTGGCAAACTCGTAGTTCCCTACTGATGGGGCTCCGAATGTATACTGCATCATATTAGACGAATGATATCCCTCGTCAGAGTGAAAGGACGAACCAGATCAACATTAGCTTCTTGCCGGAACATAGCGGCTGCGATTGTCGCCAGCGCACCGCCCAGACTGTGGCCAGTAAAGACGATCCTATGCCCCGGATACTGTTGCGCGGCGTCCCGGACCTTAGGAAACACACACCCCGAGACCGCCTGAACCGCGTCCCAGAATCCAGCGTGGGCCTTGCAACCCTCGCAGCCGTCGATGCCGGTTACATCCTCGTAGATAGCGTAGATATCAGCCAAGGAATTATTCCTAGATACTGTTCCACGGAAGGCGAGAGCGATGGTCTCGTGGGTATGGTCAACAGCCATGTAGCCATGAGTATCACCAGGGTTAATGCTGGCCCAGTTAGCCTCAGTTAGCATGGAGATTGTCAATACATACTGCTCAATTCGACTCAGTATCACTGTGTCTGCGTCTTCGAGGTCCGGACAGTATCCAGCATCGCAGTATATGGGCAACTGCTCGTCCGCACCACAGGTCGACGTAGTTGAAACAGAGCCATTGTGGTTTGCTCTGCAGTTGGCCGCCATCGCATACTGTGCCATAAGAGTAAAGTCGTCGACCAAGGCCTGGGAAACCTCTAAGGTGGATGTCAGCTTGATTTCCTTGTTGGATATCAAGGTTCATGAACCTCGTCGCCAAAAATTCGGGATGGCGGATCCAAGTAGCGGCCAAACCGACAACAGCAGGAAATGGTACACTATCGAGTACATCATTTGGAGGTTGTAGAAGACCAGAACAGAGAAGTTGTAGCAGTCTCTACTGCTAGAAGAACCCATCCGATTCTCATAACATCATGGCTTTTATATTTTATCCTTGACTCCTCAGCTGGTAAGCCAGTAGGTGAGGGATCTTTCTGTGCAGATCATGAATATAGAAATGTAAGGATACTCTTGGATTCGGGATTTGAATGCATGTTATGCCAGCAGAGTTGGCACTAGTGATTGCATCCTGTTTTCAAATCGCTGTCTCCAATGTTAATCCTGTTTTTAGTCAAGCCATTATCTACACCTAAAGCCTACACCAGTTATATCTCGTCGTTTATGCCGCCCTCGTTAAAATTCGGGCCAAATCTTGTGGTCTCACAGCCCTAAGCTGCAGATTCTTCCCCCACATTTTCCTCCCGCCTGCAACTGCAGTGATAGTGTCTCGGCTGTCCCCGACGCCAGCCGACGTGAGGTATGCTGAGATGATGAACAAAGGGCCATCCCTTGCAGAAAGACTGCATGTCGGAACCGCAGAACTCGATCAACTTCGCACGAGGAGTCCATTCGACACTCTCAGCCCCAAACAGCATCTGCAACTCTACACCGTCTTCTGTGCTGCATTCTCACCGTCCCATTGCCCAGGAATGGAACGCAGCGCAGCCCTTTCCCCCCGTGTCCCCACAATGCTCCAATTACAGCTATGAGGATAGATTATATTGTCTGGGCGAGAAAACGGGGTACCTTATAGCATCGTGAGCAATGTCGGCCCCTGACGGAGTGAGTACGCAGTTGAGACTGGTCGTTGTCCAGGATGAAATGGAACCACATGTCCAATCCAATGCCGAGCTGCTCGAGTTGAAGTACGGCGGTACATAAAACAGTTTCTGCACACTCTGGTGCAGGTTAATGACATTGTAGACTGCTTACTGGAGGCCGCTGACTCTGAGCCTAACCTGGCAAGATGATAGTATTACACTCTACACATTTAAGCAGGGTTCTAATTAAATAATATTTAGATTGAACATGAAGATCTGATAGTAATATACAGTCAACTTGATACACTGCCCGCTGCAAAGATAAGGCTGTCTATCTGGACTCCATACCCCGGCTTTGACTCCCTTTATCAAAAGCATAGTATGATTCAGGATAGGTTAGCATTACTAAATCAACTGCAAGGGGGGCGTTGATCATAAATTACTTGTGATGATGCAGAGTAGGTCATGCTATCACATTCATGCAGATCCAATGGTTGGAATGTACATAGATGCATCTAACAACCTGGATAAAGTACAATGTAGCTCAGGGCGGCACTCTTGAGATTCCTTGCTAGCTAGGACCCGGGACAACCTACAAAAATCCTCTCTGGTCAAAAACACTTCTTGATGCCTTCGCAAAAAAAGCAACTCCGATCATCCAATATCCGAGCAGCCAGATGTCAGGCAATCAGCAGTTATCTATGGTAATATGTTTTCGACACCTTACTAGAATCAGGAGAAGTTGCTAAAGAGCAGGCCGACAGGATAGGAGCAGGTATACAATGGTATTAGTCCGTGATGACTATTGACACCTCAAGAGGATGGCCATCAGCAACACTGCTAGGTACGTTGGTTTATAGCACGCATTAGTCTGTCCATCATTCAGCTTTTAAATATGACACTGGCCGTTTGTTGTATCTCTTTGACCTATCCTCACTTCTCACTCTATATAGCTTTCTGTACTTCCATGCGCGGTTACATTCAGTATCTCATCTACCAGAATGTGGCTGTGTCCGTCAAGCTTTGCTGCTGTGGGGAATAGCCAGAACAGGAAAACAGCTCGTAACCTCCCTTTGTAGCCAATGAGCAAGCCCACACGACAGGACTTGGCTATGTCTTGGGTACATACTTTATTCGCGCATCCTTTTTTGTGGCTTAGCATGTAAGCTCACCTTAGTCTGTGAAAAAGCTTGAAACCCACGAGCTGGCTTCCTCTTTTGGACTCACTTTTTCTTCAATCCGGGTGCCTGAGCGGTTACAATGGAGGAGGTGGTTGGCTTATGATTGCTATATATGTACCAATGGTTTCTAGTTATGACTATGGAAAACACAATTGAGCAGCCCGGTATCCAGTGTGATCGAACCTGCTAGAGAGCCACTCCTTCCGACTCGTCATGTCCACAAACACGAATCGAGTGGTTTCCATCGTGGAACTGGCCGTCTATATTCCAGCACTGATTCCGGCCGTCATTGCGTGTAAGCGTCATGAATTTGGTCGTAGCTCAGGGTGAGTTCATCCTGCATCCCCTTCTACGTCTCTGCTGATGCAGAAGCGTATAGGTGGCATTTTACCCTGACCCTTTGCCTGGTCCGTATTGCTGGAAGCACATGTCAGCTCATACTGTACTCCAACAATTCGGTCGGTCTCCTCAAAGCGACCTTGATCCTCGAATACATTGGCCTGGCGCCCCTCCTGCTTGCGACGCTGGGAATGCTCTCGCGTTTGTATGACCCCTAGCCGCACTCTTCCAAGTATGCATCTTCCCTGAATTTCCGTCCCGCTGACCGGTCCATCTAGTGTTGTCTGGGTCAATACCTCCTCGGCCGCTCCGAAAATCTCGATTCGGTACTTCCGACTCGTTCAACTCGCCGTGGTCATCGGAGCAGTACTGGGAATCATCGGCGCCGGGAAAACCCAGGCACAGACCAACTCCCCCTCGATCTGGTCCGAAGTCGCAGTAATTTTCTACGTAGCCGCTGGTGCCGCATTGGTACTGATATTCCTGCTGACAATCCCCTACTTTGCATCAGTCCCGGAGTCGGAGCGCCCTCTCGCGCCCGCCATCGGGGTTGCGCTGCCGTTGGACCTGGTCCGGCTGACATACCAAGTCCTCGTCGTATTTGTGCATCGAGGACCCTTTAGCCGAACGGCGCCGTCAGTCGGCGTCCGCGTGGGCATGGCCCTGGTGGAGGAATTTGTCGTGGTCGCAATCTTTCTGCTGCTAGGATTCAGGCTGGATAGACTGGACAAGGGCCAACAGGGCCCAATCTTGTCAAGGCTCTGGAAGGATCCCCCGGGGGACAGGAGTCGGAGCAATAGGAAACAGTGCCGGAGACGTCATGGGGGAGGAGTCCAGTACGAACCGGCGTTTGACTTGGAGGATGCTCACACACTGCAGGATGCCGGACTTCGCTCCTAGGACGGATCAGTTTTCAGTCCAGGTTATTTTATATAAGAAGCTTAATAAGTAAACCAGTAAAGCTTGTATATATATAAATGCTTTTAACTTATTCTCCCTACTTAGCCGCCTTGGTTACGCATCATAAGACACACAGAATGTAAATACACATACTCCACTTAGCAAGGGTGAGCATTTCCACCCTGTTCAAGTCATAGACAGCGCGTGCTCAAGAACCATAAAAATGCGAGAAATGGATTTTGCCAACAGTCATTCTTAACTCTGAATCTTCAGTTCTACTTTCTTGGGGCGTTGTTTTGTGACTTTAAAATGCATGGCAGTTTCACGGAGCCAACACTTTGAGTGCCGGAGCTTCATAGTCTGTGGCATTAACTGCGATCGGTCAACTATCATCGAGCACAAGCACTCCAAGAGGGCAAAGGGAATTAATACCGATTGATATCATAAGAAAACCAAATTCATCAGTCTCCTCGAACCACCTTTCTGCTCTCGTATTCATAACCACGCCTGGCCGAATTTCGCCAAGCTCGCCTTGCAAATAACCTTGACCAGCCCACCTCGCCAACCATTGCATATAGCTCTTACTCCACTCCTGCTCCGTCCGCGCCTGCCAAAGTATTTTGGCTGCAGGCGCAGGCATGAATCCCAGGTCTCTACAGTCAAAGCAGGGGGCCCGGTAAAGGACCGAGTATGCCCAGTGTAGAAGGTATAACGCAAGGACCGCTCGGCGTTTGGAAGTAACATGCACCCATGCTTGCCAGGTTGGTCTCATTTGCTCTTTCTCTTCTTGGAGTAAGAGGCCAGTGCGGACGACATGGCGAACGAGCTGCTCCACTTTTCGGAAGATCTCGTTATGGTCAGCTCGTGGGCTGTCGAAGTTTGTTGACGGACAGATGAGCATTATTGCATATATGACTACAGACTGTAAGACTGAGACGAATTCCGCTTCGTCAGGATGCGTAGACGGGTCCTGTATTGGAGTGTTAGTGGAAGAAAGAGGCGATGGTAGCTATTGACCAACTGGATCCACGATGCTTTCGAGCTCGCTCAAAATCGTTCTCCGGACCATTTCTTCCGCCCCTTCACGTTTTCCATGCCACATTTTAGTCAGAGTTATACAATTCGCCAAAGCAGACGGCAGTTGCTTGTCATGTGTTATCTGAGTCGGATGAAATAGAGGTGGCACTTGGAATTCCTCCGCTAGCATTTTCGGCCATGTCCGAAGCACCCTAAAGAGAAGCTCCATGCTGTGAGTAGCTAGAGCGAGAGACACTTTGTCTCCGTATGGCTCGGGATCGGCGAACGGAAATGAAAGGGCTTGAACGAACCCCGGCGAGTCTAACTTACTCTGAGCTCTATTTGTTTCCTGATTTCCCGTGTTAATCGCCAGCTGAGAAGAGAAAACAGCTGGATTTGATGGTTGCGTCACATCCCACGTGTCTGAGCTGGAGAATACGGCGTCCAAAAGATGAGACTCGAAGGTTGCAGGTAGCTCTTGCTCCTGTTGTAACCCCAGATTTTGAGGAGGAGGATCTAGCTGAGTGGCCACACCAGGATTGATCTCACTGCTTTCTGTGGCAGGCGAATCGGACGGTGCGGCATTGGCATAAGTGCAGGATGTATTGCGCATATGGCACCGGGAGCAACGAGGACGATCTAAGTTGCATCTCGTCTTGTTCGAAACACACTGATAGCACGCTTTGCGTCGCAAATGTTGCTGCCGAGACTGGTTGCAATTGTTTCTCAAGTGGCGAACGAGGGACGATCCTGTCATGCTGTCAACATATATTCCGTATAATTTTATTCAGTTACAGCTTCTTAAAAACCTACGGTGACTGAACCTAGCGAAACAAAAGGAGCACTCAGCTCTCTGAGCAAAGGTGCCCTCCATGGTGACCCTTGCTGGTACTTTCGAGGAATGTTAGACGGCGAGTTGTCGAGGTTGAGGGGCAACTCGGGTCTCCGAGTTGCTTACCAAGTAAAGTGGGTTCGTGCGATAGCTGGAGCCTGGAGCCCATGAATTCTGGATTGCAGCTGGGAGTCAGTATAAAGGCTCGCCACTCTCTCGCCCAAAGGAATTATATCCGATCAGTCAATCGTATATCTCAAAATGACCATTAATCACGTCTTTGTGTGGGCCTCCGCGGCTAAATTCGAAAGCTTGCAGGCTTTCTACCGCGCTGTTCTGCAACCGATCGGCTATACTGAGATGATCAGCGCGAAGGGCGGCAACCTTGTAGGATATGGCAGTGATTATCCCTATTTCTGGCTGCAGAAATTGCCTGCAGACAAGGAGCCCTTACCTACTCATATTGCATTTGATGCTCCCAGTGAGTATCCTTCAATGCAAATCTTGTGATGAACGAAGCTCTGACACCTTGACCAGCTAACAAGGCTGTGGACGACTTTTATCGCCTGGCATTGTAAGCCTCTCTTTGGCGCGGTTTTCCCCATTGACTAATTATTTTCATGGCGCTAATATTGCTCGAGGCAACACGGAGGACGAGATCACGGAGGACCCGGAATCCGAGAGGAAATGAGCCGCCAGCCGTACTATTCGGCATTTGTTTTTGACTCGGATGGGAATAATATCGAGGCTGTTTGTGTTAAAAAATAAACTGTTGAGTGATGGTGTTGTTGTAGAAGATGTTACATTTGTCCAGAGGCGTGATGATAGCCAATACTTCAAAAATCTAGCTCCTCGACCCAGCGTCTGCTCTCAAACACAAGAAGCGGAAATTGTAGATTCTTCTTTTACTTTTATTTTGTAAAGAAGATTTCGAAACACCTAAAGAATACTAGTAAACTGTAGAACTTTTCTATATTAGTGGCTATTTACCTGCGTGCAGTACTTGTGGAGATTCTAGCGCAACCAACTGTACCAAAGTCTGTCTCAGTGTCTCCTTAAACCCAGTAAATTGCTACCTGAACACCTCCTCCGTCCTCTGTCCAGCCTCCATTTAATCGTCGCGAAAGAGCCCTCCATCGGTAGAACTTTATTTTAACCTCATCTGCGAAATATTCTTGAGTAATATCAGCCGCATCTCGATCCCAAATAACGCCTTCAGGCGCATCTGACGACAGTATATACTCCATATTCCCCGACACCCGGTCGGAATCTATAGCATCGACATGGGCACGCGCCACATCCGCAACATGTATGGACACCCTAATATGCTGCATGTTCCACTCAGCTGCGCTCACCGGAACCCGGAGTTCCATGTTGCTTGGCACTGATCACAAAACAGAATCTAGGCTTTGTGAAAGCCCCACTCAGAGATATTCAATAGTCAAGATAGTGATGAGAAGAGTAATAAATGTAAAGAGCCTGGTGTTGGCTATAACTGTGAAGGTAGAATAAGACTAGGTCCTCACTTCTATATCCTCACCTCATGTGCACCCCAGCAAATCTTTGACAGTTTATTAATGCGGGGAGAGGGACATTGGAAATGTGGGGTGCTGGGACATCGGAAACGATCTAAGGAAAATCCGGGGTAACAATATTCGGACCACCTCTGTTACTGATTAGGAAAGGCGTGGTTATCGTATTACATATGCAGTATAAGCCTGAATTGAGATGTTGCTGCTTTATGGACCCGGAGTATCTCTCTTGGCTCCGGTTTGGCCGCAACCACAGCGACCCATGATAATCAGTCTTTGCCGACCAGTTTGGAGTCTTCTTCCTCCCATTTCGGGCGAGGGATGAGCAGAGATGCTAGAGACCCATGGCACCCAGACCCACTCCGTCCGCGGGGTCTTGGCGTCGCCGGAACTGCGAGTTCCCATCTGGTGATAAACAATCTTCAGCACATCGCATTGCTGGTTATGGAGGATACCAAAGCCTAGCACTAGTGGCGATCGGCCTTTGCTTATGTGCTGATGACCAATCTCACCGTCATTTTGCAATAATAACAAACAACCTGGAAATGAACTATATAATAGGGACAAGTCTACCTGGATATGGTGCTGGGTTTGACAGTCACTTGAGTCCAGAAAGCTTCAAATTCCAGTGATTCCCGCACGGTCGTCTAGATTCGGGAGCATACCCTTTCTACGATGCCTACCTACGTTGTGACTGGCGCCGCAAGAGGCCTTGGCGTATGTACGAAGAGCTACTCCAGATTGGTAGTTTCTAATCACATTGATTTTCAGTATGCGTTTATCAAGCTACTTGCGTCCGACCCAGCAAACACCGTCATTGGATTAGTGCGAAATTCAACTACTGCTCGAGCTCGCCTTGCACCTGATAGCATCACCAATGTCCATGTTATACCCGCGGATATCACCGACAAGGTGGCTATGAAGCGCGCAGCTGAAGAATCTAGGGAGGTCCTTGACGGCAAGGGACTAGATGTACTGATTTGCAATGCCGCCTATATCAGCGAAGTCAGCGCCTTGAAATCTGTTCAGGAATTGTATATCGTCGTGACCACCGGAGATTACTGAATGCGAAGGCTGATCATGCTCCACACAGTGAACAAGATACTCTTACTCTATTTGATGACGCAGAGAAGAGTTTCAATGTCAACGTCCTTGGGACTCTGAAAACCGTATTCGCATTTCTCCCGCTTATCCAAGAAGGCCAACTAAAGAAGGTCGTAGCCACATCAAGTGGCATGGGCGACATTGGTAAGTCCTCGCCATTTGTACGCAAAGGAGCAAATATTCATCATTTAAAACTTTTGCAGCATTGTGCAGACCCCATTGATGCTAATCCCGTCCAGACCTTATAAACGAGGCTAAAATTTCTAATGTAGTACCATATGCCCTGAGCAAAGCGGCTCTCAGAACCTTGTTTGCAAAACTTGCTGCGGCTTATGAAGAATAAAATATCTTGTTGATCTCTCTGTGCCCGGGCTTGGTAGATACAGCTGAAGGCGACATAACCTGTATTCAACCCAACATCCTCTTCCTGTTTAAGGAGTCGCATATGCTTACTTCGCATAGTATCTGCAGGTGACATGGCTCGTTATGAGAAAATCAACAAAAAGTTCGAGAAGTATGCGCCTGGAATTAGACCATCGCCACCAAACGTGTCTGCAGAGAGCTGTCTGGCTGCGATCAACCGCTCGTCGTTAGCGACAGGACATGGAGGCTTATTCTTTAGCCATAACGGGACACGCCGGTGGATGTGATCTGAATATGGGGCTCTTGCTTGAAGCTCGGAGTTTTTGCCAGCAGCAGACGGAATATTATAAGTAGATTCATGGAATGAATTTTCCAGCTTTGTCATTCTGTAGTTCCTAATCAATCTTAAACATGGCGTCAGCAATTTATGCAAGTACTCCCATCATATTCCTCGTATTGACTGTATTATCAATATGGCTTTTCAAGCACCTCTCGTAGGTTTGTAGCTTTTGTGGTCCTGAAGGGCATGTGCGCACCCACTGGGGTGCGTGGTATAAATATCTCTCATATGACTTAGAACAATAAACACTATTTTGTTCCTTTTTTTCGCTTTCCCCTCTCGTGCGATACACCTACGTCTAGGAACTGTGCCGTCGTAGAGGTTGCGGCGTACTTAGGTCAGGTTACGTATCGCATCGCGCGAACATTTGTAGTGGTTGCCCTAGCATCATGCTTAGACCTGGCCCGGACCTGCGCCACGGGTCCATGATCAGGTCTCTCGACCCGACCCTGACCTTGACCCTCCGAGGATCTATAGCGGGTCACCCTCAACGACCCGCAGCGACCCTCAAATGCATAAGTTCGAGAAGGTTTACCTAATTACGATGGGAATTGATGGCTTATTGTAATAAGTTATCCTATTGGATATGCAAATTTCCCCATCTGTATAAGTAACATTTTTACCCTGTTTGACTTGTTTTGAGGACCCCCAGGGTCGCCTGCGGGCCCGGGCCAGGTCTAATCGTGTTACCTATCATAGTGGTTGCTGTGGACGTATACCCGAGAGTGGGTGTGGTGTGTTCCTGACACTGTTCTTTGCATTTGCTACAGTCTCTGTTATTTCGACCCGCCTGCACTGACACACTGCCTCAGAGCGTCCCTCTTCAGAATGTAATGTCTGAGGGTCCTGGTACATGAATCTTCCTGCGCGCATTCTCACTAAGACGAAAGTCATGGCAGCACGATTAAGATACACTTCAATAGCTGCTACATAGCCCTATAGAGACTTTATATTAGAGCCTTGAATCACCTGCACAAAATCATTGCCAAAGACCCCCGCAGGCGTCTGAAATCCCCCTCTAGCCTCTCCACCCAAACTCACCTCGCAGCCTCTACCGAAGCCCTAGGCGTAAACTCATACCCATTGACCGTGTGAAGAGCGCCGTATGTAACAGTGCAGTCATAAGAAGTAACTGCAACAGCAGTATGATATGGATTTTCCTGCCTCTGCTCACACGTGGGGCCTTCGGTTAGGATTGAGAGGTCTCCGCTTCGGAAGCCGCCATCGGAAACATGGACGAAGGTCCTGATATCGGCGACTGCGGTTTGCTTAAATGGTGATTAAGTCAGGCAATGTTAGCGGAGAGCAATCCACCTCCCCCTTTCCATCGTCAAAGTCAAATTGCATCGTCGTCCGTGCATCTTGTTCTACTAATTCCCCTTTACACCGCTGCAGGCAGTGTGGAGTAACGCCTTCCATCGCGCTGATGGCTGAACCACGCGATATTGGTCCTGCAACACGGAGAGCGATGTTGATGCTGATGGGATGCTTGACAGACTTCATGATATAGCCGGCTAGGCAACCCAGTATCACTACGCTACCTCTGCAGCCTGGGAGAAGCATGACGTTCGCTTCCTTTGCTTCACTATCTCACTTCTCTGCCAGTTGGTAGCTGACTAATTCAGCTGAGATATCAAGGTAGTGGATCCTGAGTTTGATGCATGCATTGATGAGAGGCCCAGCAGTGCGTGTAAAGGGTCCGGCACAATTTAGCAAGACACGTATTCCGTCCAAGCCGGACCTGACAAGCTGGGGACTGGTCAAGTCAAAGACACGGTAAGGGAGGTTGTGTGAAAAAGCGAGTTCTTTGACTTTGCTCTCAGCCCTCCCGGCGAGGACGACATCCATGCCGACGCTCTTCGCGTACTCGCTGGCGAAACGACCAGTATAGCCTGAGGCTCCGTAAATCATAAAATTCGGCATAGTTGGCAAGTTTTTCTTTCGTGGGTTGTTGCGCGAGAGATTTCGAGACCAGCTTTTGACTTCTTCTCCCGAAACTCCGCGCTCCCTACGCCAACTTGATCATGCCAACTCTCACTCCATAGCGATTAGTGATACTCGGGAATCTGATGGAGAAGGAGTATGAGGTTGCTGAACACCTAAAACACAGGGCATGAGTTTCTTAAGTCAGCCATGTCCGGAGAGACTTCCTCTCTATTGTTTGTAGAATATCACATGTTCTTTTTCCCTGTGCCTGGTAGGTAAGATGATTCCCAATCGAGCTGTCCTCCCTACCAAGCCGGCCACCTCTGTATTCTATATTAAATGGAATGGCTCTCTTTAAGGTTTGATACCTTAATAATGCATCCACAGGGTCCAGTTTAGGCATGAGGTATACAGCAGTTGTTGTTGTTGATTCATACACTGACCCCTCACCAAAGCAATATGCAGGTATCTACTATAGCTAATCCTTATGTGCGTCTGGTTATATTTATTCCATTATATAAGGGCAAATTTAGAGCCTTACCTTACAGGCCTGTGATTATTCTAATTTCCCTACTCCGTACTCTAATCCTATTCTGTAGTTATAATTTTCCCTTTTTTTCTTTTTTTTTTGTTGTCCACCCACTGGTAGAACAGTTCTTGTCTATATGACACGTTTGGGGAAAACTTTCCAAGATGCTGAACGTTTACAGTTGCAAAGTGTATGCCCCTTTCAAGTATAATATCAATACATAGATATTTCCATGTCATCAGTAGGCTTTCTGCATTCTGTTGGCTCTCTGGCAGACATCTAGACAGCAATTCAACGCAGCGACGGAGCATATATATCTTTAATATGACAAAAATCCCAACTTCTTCTGAATCCTCTCGGATCAGAAGCAGCCTTTAATGTAGCCAATTATTGCTGAATGGAATTCATTTTACCAAGTCTATATTCTGTTCCTCGAAATATTTTCATGCTAAAGGCATGTGTTCCATGATCACAAGAAACTGATGGCAGAAAGCGTTCTTCAGGTCTATCCTACTTAATACCAGACAATGGTCATTGACAAGGCCTGCTGGCCCAATGGTAAGGCGCTTGACTACGGATCAAGAGATTGCAGGTTCGAATCCTGCGTAGGTCAATCTTTTTGATTTTCTTTTTCGATTGCCCACATTTTAAACCTTCAAAAAGAACTGCATTAGACTACTCCATAATTATCGCCTTTCCGCCCTACATGAGCGACCGAGTCCCTGATTATCGGCCGATTCACTCAACCTCTCCGAAGAATCTAGCAAAAAAGTTGCGAATCAAGTCAGTCGCATATTTTCGGACATCCATTCCCTTTCTTCATCATCATAGCCATCCCCTCTCCATTCTTACTCTCCTGCACGCTCATTCCCAGGATCCTCTTGTAAAACGGCACCGACCGCTCCCAGTCCATCGTAAATAACATACTCCGTCTCAGGTACGGCATCGCATCGATAACTTCGCCTATGCACTCTACAATCCAACTACCCAGCCCATTGCCCTGGTGGCTGCAGTGGACGTAGACATCGGTGATGTAGAGAAACGTGGTGTAATCTGTGATGCAGCGGGCGATGCCGATGAACTCGGGACGCGCGCTGGCATTGCTTGGCTGGTCGGGTGCGTAGTAGAGGCCGAAGCAGAGGCAGTTCTCGAGTGATTGTTTCAGGATATCTAGGGGCAATGGCTTTGCCCAGTATAGGTCGTCTGATGCGAACCAGTCGTTGAGGGTTTGGAGGGGGATAAGTGAGGAGTCCGTTGAGACGAAGTATGCCCCTTTTGTCCATGTTTGGGGAGCGATAGGCGGTGATAACCGAGTCATTCTTGTGTTTGAATCAGGTCGAGGAAAATTTTATGTGGACAGACTGTTCATTAGGGAAATCCAGCTGCTTATATGCACCCAAGGAATAGTTATCATGTCCATTGGTGACTGTGACTCATAGTCCTTGATTGGAGGGAATGGCCGGCTTGGCAGATATCATGATGGAAGCTCATGTCTGGGCTCGTATTCCATTTAAGCTGTAAATTAATTATTGAATCAAGTCGATATCAGATTGTAAGGGACAATGACTCATAGTAATGTCCAATTTTTTCGGATATCATACTTGGTTGCTACGGCTGATCAGTTGTCTTGAGCGGAGATAATATGACTTCTCTATCGTACAAAACGCCAGGTATTACAGTCAGACATTGATGGGCCTTGGCTGGCTTTACTTTGTATCCTCAGCGTCGCTCTTCCACCAGCGCCAGATCGTCTGGGCCCAGAACCAGCTTTCGATAGTTCCAAAGACGCCGAGAACGACGACGACAACGGTCTTGGTAGTCCTGCTCAGACCGAGAGAGTCGAAACTGAAGGATGGAATTTCTGGATTCTGTTGCGACCGTCCTTTTTGAGAGCCGATCTGCTTGTCCGCGACAGCAAGGTGGGTCGAAAAGGAGGCGATGGTTTGAGGGCATTTGGGGAGTCCGTGTTGACGGGGGATCATTCCATGATGGATGTTCGCATAGAGAGGGAAGATGCCGCGCCTGAACGCCATGGATACTGTGTGGCAAGGATTTATGATAAAGCTAGTGGTAGCTGTACAGGAAATGCTTTTCAGAAGCAACTGAGGTGAATGGAGAAGAGCAAGAAGGGAGATGGATTGATAACGACTGCTGACATCTCATGCGAAGGATGTCTCACATGCAGCGGGGTAATGCCCAGCCATACTGCCGAAGATAAGTACCAACCATGCCCACAAAGCTCTCTGGACATCATTGTCTAAGAGCATATTTAAAGTATTATCAAGCCGGTCTGCATGAAGCTGGACTCTAACATCATGAGATAGAGCGCCCATAACCCTGCAGGAACCCCATCGCTACATTGCAATCTATAGTCACCGTTCTATATCAGCCAAAACTACTACCCTAGATGTAGTAGACAGTTGCTTTTCTTGGGGAATTTACCAAGGCTAGTAGTGGCTCGATCGATCAACGGAAAATATGCGGGGAAATGATGAACATAGTCTGTTTATCTTCCACCGTCTCCCTGCATATAAATGGTGCCAGAAGGCATAGGTTGCAGAGTGTTTTATCAGGGGACGTCACTTCTGCTACTAGCCTGAGCTCATCGAGGTGTTTGCCCCGAGCATCTTCTTGACAGTCCTTCTCATCCCTATCTCCAATTGGCGGTCTTTCCATCACCCGGACATGGCTGGAGTGATCGCAAGTACAGAAGGGGACCGACTGACAAGGTCTGAGTCGGTGAACCACGCACACTCTCGGTTGAGCATGATGAGTTTGGATAGGTGAGCTTGGGAGAAACCGTTGTTTTCGCAGAGAATGCTACTCTGACCGTGCGGCCGAGAGATGCGGTTTGTAGGAAAGTGTATATCGCGCCGCTGAGGTTGTACGTGACTGTTCACGCCGGTATCATTACTCAGTTCAGTTACACTTGCGCGACGGGGAGGTTGGTCGTCGAGTTGGTTGATGGTCTGGAGGACTGCAGCGAGTCCTGCGAGGAGTGCAACAGCTGATGTTCCTGGTGCACCGGATGTGCAGCTGGATAGTTCGGCGATGAGATATACGGGATATGGCTATATCATGGAGTTTGGCGCTGGGCAAGCCTCATTTACATTTGCCTGATGATTCGGCCTCTTCAAGCAGACTGATTAGATATCTCTGTGGAGATAGGGATGACCAGTCGCCAATGTACTGGTGTCTAACTTGGCGCCCGATGGTGTCCCGTGTTCGTTTTGGATTACCGCTTTAGGTCTCCGATGTAGAAATTTGTTTCGTTCTAAGTCAATTAGACTCCTGATAATAATGCCGATGCATATATTAATGAACGTTACCGACAGTCGGGCTCTTTGTAGAAGCAGGCTTCCAGCAGAAAAAAAGCAACCGCCATGGATACTATCCTTTCGAAGCACTACGAAAAGACCCCTCGGCCATTTCACGCCGGCGTTCTGACTGCATATAATGCTCAAGGACATACAATCCATTCCAGCACCCAGGGCACCCAGACCGGGGACCTTTCCGGCCCCGCAGTCACCGAAGATTCAATCTTCTGGGTCGCGTCCTTGACCAAAATCGTCACGGCCGTCGCTGTGATGATTATCGTCGAGCGAGGCTTGATCTCACTAGACGATGATGTCGGCCAAGTTGTGCCAGAGCTGGCAGCGCCGGAGGTCCTGTCTGGATTTGATGAAGATGGTATTCATCATGACTGGAATTCCTGTTGCGGGATGGGACCACCATTGCTGACTGTTCCTCCTAGGAAAACCCATTGTGTATCGGACGGAGAAGAAGCTCACTTTGCGCCATCTCTTGACACATACAAGCGGCTTCACATATAGCGTGATGAGCGAGAATCTGCGGAAGTGGGCGGAGTATCATGGGAGAAACATCGACCACACAACGGGAACTTATGTACTCCGTACCCTTTCTGGAAATTCGGGATAAATGGTCTGACCAAAAGAACCGTCGGTTGACTTTAGGAGTCAATCACATATCCTCTCACCTTCGAACCAGGCGAGGATTGGAAATACGGGCCCGGAGTGGACTGGGCTGGGCGAGTGGTAAGTCTCTGGCCCCAACATGGAATTCAGTACCGCATTTGACCAGAGACACACGCAGGTCGAAGTCCTCTCCGGGAGGAAACTCGGGGAATTCATTCATGAGAACATCTGCGGCCCATTGGATCTCCAATACACCACCTTCCACCCGGAGACACTGCCCAACTTTGAGAAGAAAAGAGTGGAGATAGCCCTCCGCGACAGGGACGGATCCCTAACCCCAACCAAAGAGGTTTTCCCCCTTCCTGCGCCGGAAGACCTCGGCGGTGGATCACTGTATTCCACGCCTCGCGAGTTCACCGAATTTCTCGCCGCTCTTCTCGCAGGAGGTCGGGGGATCATCAAACCCGAAAGCGTGGAGGAGATCTTTCGGCCTCAGCTGCCGGAAGCCGTGAGGATAACGCTTAACCAGCAGATCAATATGCCCGGAGCGCAAGGAATGAAATGGCTGTTTACGACGGGGGATCAAATCGACTTTGGGCTGACCGTCTCAGTCACGGTTTCCGATGTCCCGGATGGTCGTGCACATGGGACGGTTTCGTGGGGAGGACATACAAATACTCATTGGGTAAGTGACTTTCTGGTCTGCCGATCGAACGAAGGATAAACACTGATGGAGGGGATAATACCCAGTGGATCGATCGTAAGACAGGAGTATGTGCGACGAGCTTCTTCCAGCATCTTCCTCCGTCGGATCCCCTGGTGATTGCGCTCAGAGACGAGTTTGAGACGGAGCTATATAAGCAGATACGCCATACAAAGCCATGAGCTATGGGTGGCCAAGTTACTAGGACGATTCATCTCGATAGGGCCGCATTGTGCCTCAAGCTGGACTACAGTGATCTGCTTATGGGACAGCATGTTGATAAGATAATGTGACTTGTTGAATAACACACTGTAAAAGTCCGTGGGCTTGAAGGGCCATCAAAACTAAGTAATCTCTTTGAGGCAGTTGATTTATGCTTGGAGGTGGTTCAAACACTTCTTGTCCTATGTATAGCTTCATACTTCAAAGCTTATAATATACTTTCTGGTATAGAAGTATACAGCTGTAGTCGATGGTTTAACAGCCGTCATGAAGGCCAGTGCCCATGACTGATCGACTCTAGATAATATGATAGAACTGAGCAAGAATAACTGGACAGCAGCATGAAGCTCTTTGAATTCACGGCTCATGCCACCACTATTGGTTTGTTCTTAAATCTGCTTGCGGATAGCACGGCTACGACTGGATAAGTGGGATGGAAGACTGGTCGTGGTCTCTTTGTGAACAATGCCACATAGCTTGAGAGCTCGAGTCTCCAGCAATCGGACAGTAGGCCGAGGCAGTTGTCGGCAAATCTGCCGTGTTTCGAATCTACGGGAATCATTCGCAGAAGGTGGATTCCACTCGGGGTCCAGTGAGGCCTGAACAGGACGATGCTGTGCTGGCGAGTAAACAGCTCAAGTGGAGCCTCTTTCTGGTGCATACCGATCTTATCCGATGATAGATTATTCTCTTATCATGTTCCATGGGATCATTCTGGCCCAGTCAAAGCATGGTGCCTGACCGGATGAATTCAGATTGTCATTATCTCTCATTGGCCTGATTGATACGAGGACGGAGACAATATCAACAACTGTTTCCACTCAAGAAATGGACCTTCTTTGTCTGCTGTATTCTAAACAGATTCACGTTTTGGTCTTGACTCAAATAGCTCGGGTACCATCCACGGAACTGCTCCCGTAGAAACATACTTCTTGCTTGAGGGAGTATTAGTCGAATTCAGTTGGGCATGGACTGTTCACCAGTTCTTTACGAGGTAACTAGGACCTAGACTTGAAGCTTCCTTTGCTGTAGTAACAATATCTTCTGAAAGAACAGATAATACTATGGTAGTCACAGATAGCAGGCGTCATTACGTAGGCTGCCAGATTCCCCATATTACCCAATCAGGAAAAATGGAGAGTAAACGGATAACGACCCAAGGGAGACCGGCATATTTATACATGCCAACCCAAGTTATGACGGGCCAAAGCCACATAGCTTGTTTAATTATAGCGAGTGGGCTCTGCATAAGTGGCGGAATTGACTTTGCCGGGAATACGGGTAGATCGGGATCGTCCTCGGTTCGGCATCGGATGGCTGATTAATACATATTACTGTCACTATTGAAGGCCGATTTGCTGCAGCCTGATTCGATGGACACATTATTGGTTAATAGATGTGGTTGGGCAGTAAGCGTTGCGTCTTTCATTATTGGCGTGATATGCCAGGATCTTGTCATTGCCGGGTTGCCGTACTTTATCTGGAAGTTTGAGTACTTTTGCAAGACTATTGGTTCATTACTTCAAAACGGCTATGAAAGGTCCAGATTACTAAACTGATTGTCAGAAATGTCACTATCAATCTGGTCTGAGCACCAAATCCCTGTCCAATGGCAGACTCAAAGCAGCTCTGTTCCTGGAGCGGTGGATCTGCGCGATTTTCAACGAGAGTGAAAGGGTCTCGTTCCTGGTTACTTCACGGGTAAGCGGCTTGTGGCTGCGTGAAATGCTTATCATAGATCATGTCCAATAAGACACTATTCTGGATTGAGTGGCCAACTACCGTAACGTCAGTGCCGATCTAGCATCCGCTTTGTCGGTTATCCCAATCCGTGTATGTGTTCGACCTTTGTAGAGGATAGGTGTAACGAATATATACCCCTTGCCCCCAATTCTTGGAGGTCGAAATGGCATCAAACCCTGGTCGTCAAGGTAGTCCACCAAGCATGATGGAGTACCCTGAAGACGAACCCTCTGCATCGCGAGCTCCTACGGAGTACGGTGACTATGGCGAAGAGCCCCCCGAGAAGAAAGAAGCCCTCGCCATTCCCCAGATCAACATCCGCGAAGCCGCCAGCGCCGAAACCCTCGCCTCACCCCACCACACAGACGTTGCTTCGCCCCCTGGCAAAGATACAGAATGGAGCATGACGCCGCAAGTCATCCGCATGAAAGAGCAGGAAGAAGCCGCAGGGTTCAAGCGTCGAGAGCTAGGCGTCACCTGGCAGAACCTCACCGTCGAGGTCCTCGCTGCCGAAGCCGCGGTCAAAGAAAACATCTTCTCCCAGTTCAACGTGCCCCAGCTGATCAAAGACTATCGTCGGAAACCACCTCTGAAAGCTATCCTGCAGGACAGCCATGGATGTGTCAAGCCCGGAGAGATGTTGCTGGTCCTTGGCCGGCCGGGATCAGGATGCACCACCTTGCTCAAGATGCTCTCCAACCGGCGAAGGGGATACCATACTATCAACGGGGACGTGCGGTTTGGCAGTATGACACCGGACGAAGCGGCGCAGTACCGAGGCCAGATCGTTATGAACACGGAAGAAGAGATCTTCTACCCGCGCCTGACAGTTGGCCAGACCATGGACTTTGCCACCAAGCTCAAGGTCCCATTTCACCTTCCCGACGGAGCGAAATCGGTGGATGAGTATGTGGCAGAGACGAAGAAGTTCCTGTTGGAATCGATGAAGATCGCACACACGGAAGAGACCAAGGTCGGCAATGAATTTGTCCGTGGTGTCTCAGGTGGCGAGCGGAAGCGTGTCTCAATCATTGAATGCATGGCTACCAGGGGCTCGGTCTTCTGCTGGGATAATAGTACCCGCGGTCTGGATGCCAGTACAGCCTTGGAATGGGCCAAGGCCCTGAGAGCCATGACCAATGTGCTTGGCCTCTCTACCATCGTCACTCTTTATCAGGCGGGTAATGGCATCTACAACCTCTTCGATAAAGTGCTCGTGCTGGATGAAGGGAAGCAGATTTTCTATGGCCCGGCAGCGGCCGCAAAGCCCTTCATGGAAGATTTGGGATTCGGGTACACTGATGGTGCTAATATCGGTGAGTTTCCCATCCTATTGTCTCACCAACCACTAATAGTCTAAGGTGACTTTTTGACCGGCGTTACTGTCCCTACCGAGCGAAGGATCCGTCCAGGCTTCGAGAACAGGTTTCCTCGCAATGCAGACGCAATCCTGGCCGAATACAAGAACTCCCGCATATACCAACACATGGTCACCGCATACGACTATCCCAACAGCGAGATCGCCCGTCAAAGAACCGCAGATTTCAAGGAGTCCGTCGCCTGGGAAACTTCCAACCGTCTCCCCAAGAACAGCCCGTTGACGATCAGTTTCCTGGGACAGCTCAAGGCGTGCACAATCCGTCAGTACCAGATTCTCTGGGGTGAGAAGTCAACCTTTCTTATCAAGCAGGTCATGTCCCTCGTCATGGCTATCATCGCTGGCTCTTGCTTCTATGACTCTCCGGATTCATCAGCTGGACTGTTCACAAAGGGTGGAGCTGTCTTCTTCAGCATGTTGTATCCATGTATCCTGGCCATGGCAGAGGTGACCGAGTCGTTCAAAGGACGACCGGTTCTGGTCAAGCACAAGTCGTTTGCAATGTATCATCCGGCCGCGTTCAGCTTGGCGCAGATCACTGCCGACTTTCCCGTGCTATTTGTCCAGTGTACCCTCTTCTCGGTCGTGATCTATTGGATGACTGGGTTGAAGCACACGGCGGCTGCTTTTTTTACCTTCTGGGTCATTCTCTTCACCGTCACTTTAGTGAGTTGCTGTATCCTAGAATGAAGTGCATGACCCATGACTGACCTGCATAGTGTATCACTGCCCTCTTCCGTTGCATTGGAGCCGGATTCAGTTCGTTTGAAGCCGCCTCGAAGATTTCTGGAACAGCGATCAAAGGAATCGTCATGTATGCAGGTGTGTAACCGTAAAATCTGGTCTGATCTGACAACATTCTAATTGCTACGCGCGCAGGCTACATGATCCCCAAACCGAAGATCAAGAACTGGTTTCTGGAACTCTACTATACGAATCCCTTTGCCTACGCCTTCCAGGCTGCTCTGTCCAACGAGTTCCATGACCAGGAGATCCCCTGCGTCGGCAACAACCTCGTGCCCAGCGGTCCGGGATACGAAAATGTCCCTTCGGCCAACAAAGCCTGCACAGGCGTGGGCGGCGCTCTCCCTGGAGCGGACTACGTGACTGGTGATCAGTACCTCTCGTCGCTTCATTACAAGCACTCCCAAATGTGGAGAAACTACGGCATTCTCTGGGCTTGGTGGGGATTTTTTGCTGTGTTCACCATCATCTGCACTTCTTTCTGGAATGCCGGGGCCGGGGCCGGAGCGTCCCTCCTGATTCCCCGTGAGAAACTTAAGAAGACTCGAGCACATGCAGACGAGGAAGCGCAGAGGGAGAAGAATCCCGCGCGGGACAACGGCAGCGGCGGTGTTGCCGGAGATGACAATCTCACCCGGAATACTTCTATCTTTACCTGGAAAAATCTCACGTATACAGTCAAAACGCCTTCTGGGGACCGGGTCCTGTTGGATAACATCCACGGATGGGTGAAACCCGGCATGCTGGGTGCGCTCATGGGCTCTTCGGGCGCTGGTAAGACGACGCTGCTCGACGTGCTCGCTCAACGGAAAACCGAGGGAACCATCAAGGGATCGATCATGGTTGACGGCCGGCCATTGCCAGTCTCCTTCCAGAGAATGGCTGGTTATTGCGAGCAACTGGACGTCCATGAGCCTTATGCCACCGTCCGCGAAGCCTTGGAATTTTCTGCCCTGCTGCGTCAGTCCAGAGACATACCCCGGGAAGAGAAGCTCAAATACGTCAATACGATCATTGATCTGCTGGAACTACATGATCTCGCTGATACCCTGATTGGCACAGTGGGAAACGGTCTCAGTGTTGAACAGAGAAAGCGTGTGACTATAGGAGTTGAATTGGTGTCCAAACCTAGTATCCTCATCTTCCTGGACGAGCCTACGTCCGGTTTGGATGGCCAGTCTGCATTCAACACGGTGCGATTCCTCCGCAAACTAGCGGATGTGGGCCAGGCTGTCCTGGTCACTATCCACCAACCGTCCGCTCAACTCTTTGCCCAGTTCGATACTCTGCTGTTGCTCGCTCGGGGCGGCAAGACCGTGTACTTTGGCGATATCGGCGAGAATGCAGCTACGATCAAGCAATACTTTGGCAAATACGGCGCTCAGTGTCCGATCGAGGCTAACCCGGCTGAATTCATGATTGACGTGGTTACGGGCGGTATTGAGGCCGTCAAGGACAAGGACTGGCATCAGATCTGGCTGGAATCTCAAGAGCATCAGAACATGGTGGTTGAGCTGGACCGGATGATCGCTGATGCCGCTGCAAAGCCGCCTGGCACTCACGACGACGGGTACGAGTTTTCGATGCCGTTATGGGATCAAGTCAAGATCGTTACTCATCGGATGAACGTGGCGCTTTTCCGGAACACCCTGTACGTCAACAACAAAGCCAGTCTGCATATCATCTCTGCCCTTCTAAACGGATTCTCCTTCTGGCGCATTGGACCTAGTGTGTCTGCCCTGAATCTCAAGATGTTCAGTATCTTCAACTTTGTCTTCGTCGCTCCTGGCGTCATTAACCAGCTGCAACCCCTCTTCATCCAGCGCCGCGATATCTATGATGCCCGAGAGAAGAAATCCAAGATGTATTCCTGGGTGGCCTTCGTCACCGGTCTCGTTGTGTCTGAATTCCCCTATCTTGTCGTCTGTGCGGTGCTCTACTTCCTCTGCTGGTACTACTGTGTCCGCCTCCCTCATGAATCAAGCAGAGCTGGATCCACGTTCTGGACGATGCTGTGGTACGAATTCATTTACACGGTAGGTCATCCCGAGCTCAATTCGCAGGAAAGAATAAAGTACTAACCCAAGAATCAAAGGGCATTGGCCAATTCATCGCCGCATACGCCCCCAATCCCACCTTCGCCGCGCTCGTCAACCCCCTGATCATCAGCGTCCTCGTTCTCTTCTGCGGCATCTTCGTCCCCTATACTCAGCTCAACGTCTTCTGGAAATACTGGCTCTACTACCTCAACCCATTCAACTACGTTGTCTCCTCCATGCTGACCTTTGGCATCTGGGGCGCAAAGGTCACCTGCAACGAGGAAGAGTTTGCCTTATTCGATCCAATGAACGGAACCTGTGCCGACTACCTCTCAGACTATATGATGGGCGCCGGGTGGCGCATTAACCTCACCAACCCGGACGCTACCTCGCAGTGCAAAGTGTGTGAGTACCGGAGTGGCAGCGACTTTCTGACGACGCTCAACATCAAGCATTACTACTACGGGTGGAGAGATGCGGCGATCACCGTCATCTTTGCCATTAGTGGCTACGCTCTGGTCTTTGGACTGATGAAGTTGAGGACGAAGGCTTCTAAGAAGGCTGAGTAGATTGCTTGAGCCTATCTGGACGACTGCTTTTGCTAGCAGTAGTATTGACAATCATTGCACGGAGGACAAAGCCTTCTTCTCCATTCCCTTCAATGTATTCTTTTCTGTTTCATTCGTTGCAAACATAGACATACACATAGACTGCATTTTCTTTTTTCATTTTGTTTCTCTTTTCTTCCCTTCCTTTTCATTCACTTCTGCGATCACTCTTTTGTTCCTTTCTTTCCTGTTGGCCTCCACTCTCATGTAATTACCACACATAGAGGAGAGGTGGAGGGCTGTACATATTTTGCATAGAATAGACTTGAGATAGACACATAGACACATAGAAAACAAAAGCAACAATTTGGATTTTTCCAAGATGGTGACCAAATCTGAATATATTCCTAGTAACTTTCTGACACTCTTCCATCCCTTTACGCAGCTCACACATACATATTCAATCCCTCGGCTCATTCAAACGATGCGGAAGCATCAGATGACCTAAGGTATCTTCCGCTCTTCCTGAAACAATGTACCACTGTCCATTCCTATTAGAAGTTGGTTAGCAACGAGGATGATAAAAAGCGAGAACCACTTGGCATCAAGGGACTGCAAAGTGGTACTATGGGGTAGATCGTAATTGGTTGACTAATATGCATCTTATCAAATTATGAAGTCCTACATTTTTTTTTCTCAGGAGATGCATCTTGAAGGTCTAACAGGGAAGCTCTACTTGTATACTCTTCTCTCACGATACAGAGTTCCCTTTAATAAGCTTTCGTCTCACTAGCTAGTCTCTTGTCTATGATAGAGGTGAGATCTCCACGGTTCATGGTTCGCGTGGGATCCGAGTACATCAAAAGTCAAAATAATGTCATGACATCACGACCTCCTTCAATGCCTTTGGTCCTGACCGTCAGCAGCCGCCTACCTCGTTCTAGCCAGTTCTTTAAATGGATAATGTGCGGATGACCATAGCCCTGATAATGGACAGTGATTCATATGGAGACTCTTCATAACGTCGTCTCGCAAGTCAATGGAGGTGATGATACAATCAATGTAACCTACGTCTTGACTACATGAACTATGAGCAACACTATTATAACCAGATGTGACAATCTCCCAGGGCAAAAAGAGCTCACCGAAGCCTACGAGCTCGAACTACAATCCCAAAATGGCGAGCCGATCCGGTTCGGCGAGCTCGTCGCAGGGAAAGGAGGCCATATCACAACGATTGTGATTTTCAGTATGTCTCGCTCGCTCACGCTGCCTTGATACCCTTCCCACCTGCTAACCATTCTCCAGTCCGCCACTTCTTCTGCGCCTATGATCAGGAATACGTCCGTACAGTCTCGCAGCATCTCACCGACTCTGTCCTCTCGACCCTCCCCAATCCCACCGGCCCATCCCAGCTCATCATAATCGGCTGCGGTGACGCGCAGAGCATCGTCCCGTATGTGTCGGAGACCGAAGCCGCGTTTCCCATCTACACGGATCCCACGGGGACGATCTACGAGAAGCTGCATATGAAGAGGTCAACGGCGAACATAACGAAACCGCCCTCGTATGCTCAGATCTCTTTCTTCAGTGCGCTTGGGAAGACATTCAGACAGATGTTTCGAAGTGGATGGCAGGCGTTTCGAGGGGGAAGCTGGGGGCAGAAC